TAATAATTATTTGTTACGTTACAAAAACTCTTTAGAATCTTAAGTGCATACGGTATACAACTAGTAAACACTGTATCACACAATTCTATCAATATAAACCTGCGTGTATCTCATATGTATATGTTAGAACTAGATGAACACTTAGGTTCACTTTAACATATTTTGTTAGAGATGAGCAAAACTGCGATTTTCCAATCGCAGTTGAAACTGCGATTGTGATTTGTAAATCGCTGCGACTGTAACCTGCGATTGCGATTTTGATATTTTTAAATTGATACGCTGTAAACTGGGAAGCTCAATCCCAAAATTTTTGAGAAAAAACAGAATAAATAGGGGAATACTTTTTTTTTTAATAAAATCTTACAAAGAAACTGTTGGGTGTTTCGATGCCATATGCCTTTTAAAGTGTTTTTTTATGATATTTTTGCTCTGCACACATATTGCACTTAAAATTTTCATCAATTACCAAAAAAAAATCAAACCAAACCAAACCACAAATAACTTAGTTTCCTTTTTTAAACATTTTTGATTAGAATAGACCAAATAAATTTAAAAGGGAAAAAATACATAAAATGTTCAAAATATTCGAATGTGCTTTTAGACAGTCTGTACGTATACTAACGAAAAATTTATTATAAAAAAGGTTGCCGCCAACCTTAATTCAAATAACGAGAAAAAAACTGTTTATTTTATCTTTTTTTCTTTTAAAAACATTTTCTTTATATGTAACTCAAAAGAAGCCGACGCCGACGGCTTTGATACGGCCCGTCCAGTGCAAGTGCAAACTTTCGAACTTTTAGATAAATGAAAGGACAATATCACATTTTATTATATTTGAAAATTCTCTAAAATGAAAAAACTGATTGTAAAGGATGTACTTAAATTAACATAGCAGCCGATCCACAACTGTTAGTATATTCAGAAAATTATATTATGGATTGTTATAAAATGTTTATAATAATATAATATACATATAACAAAATATAATAAAGAGAAAGGGCTGTTTCTTTTTCGTGCTCTATATCTTCTAGTAAATCAAGGATAAAAATAGATAATTTTTTATAATTTGAATCCAAAACTGTCCTTGAATGAATTATTTTACCTGAATCATTACCTGGGAGCAACTGTAACTATAATTAGTCATAACCGAAAACAAGAATTTTTTAACCTTCTAAATCCATAATTATATTATAAATCTAAAACTATTATCAAAATTTAAAACTAAAAAATTATACATATATATTATGCGGTATATAAACAATATAAGCCTATTTTCCAACGCTTCATAAAATTACGGGGCCATGATTGCGAATGTGATTTTGCGATCTCTAGTCTAGGCCGATGTGTTGAGAGCTGCGAACGAAAATCACAATCAGCTGCTCTTCGTTGGCGTGCCCACTCCCGATGCCGCGCCGCCGGTGCCAACGAAAATCGCAATCGCAATGTTGGGATGAGCTGCGATTTTCGAGCTGAACGAAAATCGCAGCCTGCCCACTGCCGTGTTGATGACGCGCCGCCGCCAGCCGGTGCGTACGAGAAGTCGCAATATTGCGATTTTCGTTCCCAGCTCATCGTTCGGCTTCTCAGTGCCGTGTCGATGCACCGCCGGTGCAAACGAAAATCGCAATGTTGTGATTTTCGTTCGCAGCTCTTCGTTCGCGTGCCCACTGCGATTGCAAATCGCAACTGGTGTAATACTGGTTGCCTAAAAATCCAAAATCGGCAGATATATGTTTCAATCGCAAGTCGCAGTTTGTTATGGAAATGAATCACAGGTTGCGATTGCGAATTTACAATCGCTGCGATTAAATCGCAGTTTGCGATTTTCTGCTCATCTCTATATTTTGTTTCTCATGTGTCTCCCTTGTAGAAACGTAATTTCATTTGGACGTGCTGTATGGGTAGATACAGACTGGTAAAATTTTCTAATTTTTTTCCAAAATATCTCTGATGGTACATTTGATACACGTGCATGTTTGATACCATGCATCAAAATGCTTATTTTGACATACAAAAAATTTGATTCATTAACAATTTTTTTTAACTTAATTTCCTTCCAGCCAATGCAGAAATGATTTCCACACAACAGTCACCGCATCATATTTTCAGCGATTTGACCCTGAAATAAACTGACTTTAATTTTTTAAACAAAAACTATGCGTCGGACGATTTTTAGAAATGAATGGAGATTTTGAAAATAATTTTTATTTTAAGAGAAGTCGGTGGTGTACCATGTTTTTCTCCAAAAATATTCAATGTAAAACCCGTATGGACGGCACTGGTTGAAATAAATAAAATTCTTTGTACACCAAAAAAGGTATTTTGATGCATAGAAGACGTGTATCAAGTTTCATAAAGATATACAGGGTGTTTCAAAACAAATGCGAAAAACTTCAGGGGGCGATTCCCTGTTTAAAATAAAGGATAGTTTGCTTCATAAACGTTGTGTCAAAAGTCAACCATTAGGGAGATATCGCTGTACAAAGATGGCGGAAAAATAATGTTTTTATTTTTTATCTTGAAAACGAAAAGAGATAGACTAATGAAATTTTATGGGAGCATTACTGTTATGAAAACACACTTTCTGGTAATTTTTTCACTTTTTTAAAATGAGTGGAAGGGGTTGAAATAAACTACCCCTATCATTCTTGTTAACAAAATTTAAAGAAAAATCTTATCAAACACATGCAAAAAAAATTAATTTGGATAGCTTGGTTTGTTTAGAAACTTTTTTATCTCTTGTGTTTCTTTGATAAAACTCGCCGATTTGAAATTAAAAAATAAAATGTAAAGCATTACATGTCAGGTTAAAAAACATTTTTAGATAAAGAATCTAGTGATAATAACGATAATAATAAGAATCTAGATAATAACGTATTGCAGTAGAGTAATGTCAACAAAATAATATTAGAAACATCCCCTAAAAAGTGACAGCGACCGACTAGATTTTATCCTAAAAAAATTAGAGCAGCCTACTAGATTCTCTATCTAAAAATGTTTTTTGTCTTGACATGTAATGCTTTACATTTTATTTTTTAATTTCAAATCGGTGAGTTTTATCAAAAAAATATGAGAGATAAAAAAGTTTCTAAACAAACTAAACTATCCAAATTAATTTTTATTAATGTTTTTGCATGTGTTTGATAAGCTTTTTTTTTTTAATTTCGTTAAAAAGAATGATAGGGGTAGTATATTTCAACCCCTTGCACTCATTTTAAAAAAGTGAAAAAATTACCAGAAAGTGTGTTTTCATAACAGTAATGCTTCCATAAAATTTCTTTAGTCTATCGTTTTTCGTTTTCAAGATAAAAAATAAAAACATTATTTTTCCGCCATCTTTGTACCGCGATATCTCCCTAATGGTTGTCTTTTGACCCAACGTTTATAAAGCAATCTACTCTTTATTTTGAACAAGGAATCACGCCCTGAGGTTTTTCGCATTTGTTTTGAAACACCCTGTATACATATATATAACAAAATCAGTCATTACGAAAAAAAATTTTCTTTTAGAAAAATTTACCACCTGTATCTCAGAAGAAGTTTTTCTCTCAGAATAGATCCAAGAATCACGCCCTTAAATATTAGCATGTCATTAAGGAACACCCTGTATACAGGGTGATCCGAAATGTATTCCGGAAACTTCGGCAGCATATTTTGCAGATAAAAATAAGTAAAAAGTTCGTATAAATATACAAGGTTTCCCGGAAATAAGTGCAAGTATTTCAACTGGTAGTATAGTTCAACCCCAGAAACACACCTATGAGATTTTTTTTGCAAAAAAAAATTTGAAAATCCGGAATTTTTTGAAAATTTTTTTAGATTTTTTTTAGTTTTTAGTTAAAAAAACATAATTTCTTGATAATATGGCAACATAGGTAGTAGATTAAATTTACAAGAAAGAAAATCCAGAAAAGATCCAGTAGTTCTCAAAATTATGGCAAAAAATCATTTTTTTTGGAAATTTTCAAAGTAGAATAACTCCGTTATTTTGGACTTATTTGAAAAACGATAAAGAGAAAATATGTTTCTTTTATCGAGATATACCACCCCTTAAAATACTTGCACTTATTTCTGGGACACCCTGTATGTCCTGAAATGCTTAGTTTCGGAGATACAGGGTGCAGGGTGTAGAAGTTTCATTTTTATTTAGGTTTTTTTCAAATAATTTCTGAAGTAACGTCACTATTTGAATGAAAATTGGTGTCTGGGAGTTTTTTGATATCCGAAATTTGATTTTGGTGTCAATATGACTATTTGTAGGGGGCGCCACCTACATGTGTTTTAGCAGTTTTGAAGAGAATAACTTTTCGTCCGTACTTGTATAAAACTACTTCTTTTTTTACGTAAAAATCTCTCTTGGTAAAAATCGCTACGAGCAACCGTTCTCAAGATATTTAGAAGACAGTTATTTGACTGAAATAATAAATTTGGGAAATTTTTACTTTTTTTTAAATTAATCTTAATTTTTCTGACCACATAGTATTGTCAAAGTTTGTATTGTTTTATTTCTCGATAATAATTGATTTACCAATTAGATCCCCAGCCTTCTTTAAAACATATATGTATGTATATTGTCTTTCATAAGAAATTATTTTGAATCCATTGGAGGATTATTGTTTTCAAAAACCCTGTATGCATATAGCGCATTACTCTTACATTATTTGTTTTGGCTACATTTGTGTATTTCCATCTCTCTTCTATGTTTAGTAAACCGATCGATATGTTACAATACCTACCATCTGTGTAAATAGCATTTTGAAATCATACATAGAAGTACATATACATTCAAAAATATTATCGGTGCATTTTGGTTGTTAATGTTTCACAGATTTGACGTAGAATGCAAATAGAGACGTAGATGTAAATATTGTTTGATAAATATTTGGTCAAATGTTTCGATAAAATTACAACATGAATTAAAATAACATGAGAGACAACAATTTTTATGTTAAGGACGCAACCCTACATAATGTCTTGTGTGATATTTTGTGTGGACTTACCGCTCTGAGTTCTCTCTGAGAAAATATCCGGCTGAGCTGTCCTCTGAGTGGTACCATAAGAATTAGACAGAAGGGGAACGCAAGCGAGGCCTTGGTTGATTTCACCACCCACAGAACGATGAGACACGTCAACTGGACGAAGGTGAATAGGTGCATTTTTGCGGTACGGACCTGTAAAGAAGAAATTAAAAAATAACTACATTATATTGATAAATTTTCCAAATATTTACTAATAAATATTTAGTTAAAGACAAATTTGCTTAACTAATACCGTATGATTGAAAAAAAAACGGCGTCAAAGACGGCTGCGGTATGACAATCGATGATAATTTTGGCGAGGTCAATCTCTAAACGTTATTTACTAAAAATTGACATAAAACTTGTCAAAAATTAACACTAATTATTAAAGAGATTATAGGGCTATTAAAAAAGGATAAATCGTTTCTAGAAAAAATATTTCTGTCTCGAATTTTGAACTACACCATTTAAAAATCATTTTTATTCAGTATAAAAATAAATTACAACCTTTTTAAGGCCATCTGGCAGTAAGCGCCATTATAAAATTCAAAAAAATAAGAGCTATAAGTAAATGACGTCTAGAGGTTGACGTAGCCAAAATTAGTACCGATCGTCATTCTCCAGCAATCTTTGACGCCGTTTTATTTCGATCGTATCGTAGAATATACAGGGTGTCCCAGAAATAAGTGCAAGTTTAAGGGGTGGTAGATCTTGATAAAAGAAACATATTTTCTCTTTATCGTTTTTTAAATAAGTCCAAAATAACGGAGTTATTTTACTTTTAAAATTTCCAAAAAAAATGATTTTTTGCTAAAATTTTGAGAACCACTGGATCTTTTCTGAATTTTCTTTCTTGTAAATTTAATCTAATACCTATGTTGCCATATTATCAAGAAATTATGTTTTTTAACCAAAAACTAAAAAAATTTCCAAAAAATTTCGAATTTTCAAAAAACATTTTCGCGAAAAAAAAAATCATAGGCGTGTTTCTTGGGTTAAACTATACTGCCAGTTAAAATACTTGCACTTATTTCTGGGACACCCTGTATATTGAAATGTCATCAGTATAATGGTAAAAACTTCATGAAAAAATACAATGTTTACTGACAAGTGCTTACCTACTAGAAAAAAAATGAAAGATAAACTTCTAAAAAATAGAATATGTGTTACCTAATAAATATCAATTTTGAAAATAAAAAGAATAAGGTACTTAACAAAATTTATTTATTACTTCAAAATACCTGTGTCATTTAAAAAATAAAATAATGTGTGATTTTCTTTTTTCACTTTGCTAATTAATTTGGCATAAATATACAGGATGAGTCTGAAATAAGTGCAAATATTTCTAGGGTTGGTAGATCTACTACACTGGTAATAAGTACAATATAACCGAGTTATTAAAAAAAAATTGGTTGAGAATTAAGTACTGTCTTTTTTCTGGGCTTTCTTTCTTGTAAATTCGATCTAGTAACTAATGTAGCCATATTATCAAGATATTACAATTTTTAACTAAAAATAAAAAAAAATAAAAATAATTTTCCCGGAAGAAATCCGGAAACAGGGATCGGAGTGTTTGGGCCGAGAGCTAATTACCCCGAACCAATGGGCACTTACCCTAGTATCCTACAGGCAGAAATCTACGCTATCGAGAGATGCGTACAACTTATCTTAGATAGGAACTATCGGAAACAAGAAATATCCATCTTATCTGATAGTCAAGCAGCGTTAAAGGCGATCAACTCAGTATCAATCAATTCGAAATTGGTCAAAGAATGCATAGAGAAGCTGAATAAATTAGGCAAAGAAAACAAAGTCCTCCTACACTGGGTGCCTGCTCACCAAGGGATAGAAGGCAATGAAAAAGCAAATAATCTAGCTAGGAAAGGAGCGAACACTCCACTAACTGGACCAGAACCGTTCTGCTTTCCAAGTGGTAACCAACTCAAGGCGGAACTCAAGAACTTGGAAGACTCCATCCGCAACCTGGAATGGAAATCTTGCAATGGTCTAAGACACTCGAAGAAGTTTCTGAGGGCTTATGATCAAGAAAAATCACAGATCTTCCTGGGTCTGAGTAAGAACAATCTTCGGATTGTCACGGGGTTTTAACAGGACACTGTCTCCTCAATGAACACCTCAGTAGATTGAAACTAAGAAGAAACGGCGAATGCAGATTCTGTGGGGAAGATGGTGAAACACCAGTACACCTCATCACTGAGTGCGCCGAGACGACAACCATTCGTGCCATGTACGACTGATATTGGAGATGGAGAACTACCCTCTATAAAACCGTCCCAGATACTGGCTTTTGTCAAAGCCCTGGGACTGTATGATGAGTTATGATTCAAGAAAGGGGGACACAATGGATCTGTAAGGTCGAAGTGATTAACCCCCCTCCCACTCATTCTAAATTCTAAAAAATAGACCAGAATTATATACCATCACTATAAATATTTGCACTTATTTAAGACTCGCCCTGTATAAACAAGAGTATAAGTACAGAATCAAAAAACAAACATAATAATCTCGTCTCAAAAGTGGCTCACCTCTATAACTTTTTTATTTTCTCAGATAAAGGATGAGACTTGGTAAGTTAATATATGACATAAATTAGGATTAATTGATGTATTCAATTGTTTCTGGCCACTTCCTGTTTCACCGGAAATGAGTACAACTTTTGATTTTTAAATGGCACCCTCGGTATATTTTTACTTTATTCGATTGAAAATGACACTCTGAATAGAATGACATATCATATGTCAACTTTTGACATTTTAGCTTAAATCGTATTTTAAATTTCAATCTAGAGGGCCTGCCATGCATGGTAGAAACACTAATTTTTAATCAAAGAGCCTTGGAAAAATTGATTTGATCGTCTAATGTTTTTCGTGTCGTGTCCTGGCCGGTTAAAAGATGCACAAATCGTATTTTTAATCATATATCAATTTTTTTCAAATGGAACAAGGGTGGCACATTGGCATAATTGGAAAAATCATTTTTTTATGAATAATTTGGTACCACACACACTTGGTATTTCGTATCAAATTGACGTTATGAATTGCATGAAAAGAAAATCGATGAGAAAATGTCAAAAGTTGACATATGATATGTCATTCTATTCAGATTGTCATTTTCTATTGAATAAAATAAAAAAATACCGAGGGTGTCATTTAAAAATCAAAAGTTGTAGTCATTTCCGGTGAAACAGGAAGTGACCCAAAACAATTGAATACGTCAATCATTTCTAATTTATGTCATATATTAACACACCAAATCTCGTTTTTTTATCTGAAAAAATAAAAAGGTTATAGGGGGTGAGGTACTCTTGAGACGCAGCCGGTATATTTTTAATAGAGTTTTGTAAAAAATGAAGTGAATTATCAAAGGGTGGATATTATCTTAGACTACAATTATCAACAATGTAGTTCATTCTGTATACTCAACATTTAAAATACTTAGCTAAAATATTGAGTAGGTATAAAGTGCGTCTGCTGGATTTGTGTCTATGAAAGGAATGCGGACAAAAAACATTTAAATAAACAGCAATATATTTTTTACGTCGACTTGAAGAGTACGTCACCGCAAATCGCTCCGCTCACTCATTTTATTGGCTACTTGCAAATTTGTCGAATTTTTATTGATAGGACGCGTCCTCTAATTTTTTACGAAAAACATCGAGAGAATATCGTTTCACCGCTCACGGATACCCCTTAGCTACAGAACGGACAGACGCACTGTACAGTACGTCTGCTGGATCTGTGTCTATGAAAGGAATGCGGACAAAAAACATTTAAATAAACAGCAATATATTTTATACGTCGACTTGACGAGTACGTCACCGCAAATCGCTCCGCCCACTCATTTTATTGATTACTTGCAAATTTGTCGAATTTTTATTGATGGGACGCGTCGTCTAATTTTTTACGAAAAACATCGACAGAATATCGTTTCCCCTCTCACGGATAACCCGTAGCTACAGAACGGACAGACGTACTGTACTAGAACTCGCCACTTATTACACTTCGTTCAATCATACAAATATTGCAATTATAGTCTGTGAAACGAATAACTTTGAATTTGACAGTTCCCGCGGGCTTTTCTAGTGTTAATTTTATTAGGTTAGCAACTTGCGGCCATGCTGACGCAATGCCGTCCCTAGTAGAACAGGGGTGCGACTTTGTTCAATTTAGCAACCGATCGTTTAGAAGCGATGTCGAAACCAGATCGATACTATGTTCATTGCAAAACTAGTGTCGCTCAAATGCTGCAAAATATGGTATCACTATCACACTCTTGCACACGTGTCTAGACTGTCGCCTCGCCACAAAGCGAGAAATCAGAATATCGCTACAAATCGATGTTGCTACTGAACATAGTGCATCAAGCTACAAATTACTTTGCTATCGCTTTGAAACATGAACAAAGTTGCACCCCAGCCTCGGAGCGAGATTTATGACGTCACGCTAACATAATTATTCCTTATATTTGACTATGGCTGAAATCGTACTCCATAGTCAATGTAGATAGTTTTAGTGTTAAGAATAATAATTTTAAAAAATATGTGGTCATCTTTTGACAAGTTTATATTAGTTTATTAATTGCAGTAAACATTATGTGGTTTGTGGTGTGAATATTTTATATGCAATTTTTTGGATTATATTCGACACTATTTTTTTTATATGACACAACACTGATGAAGGCTATAATGTTAGCCGAAACGTTTTTTTAAACCAAAAAAATAATGAAAACCCAAATGAAAACTTAATCAGCGTTTTTCCCGAACCTAAATCCCAAGAAAATCAAAAATTTTATAGAATAATTTTACATTATAAAATGACAGCGATCTTTATTTCATAGTCATCGCTGACGCATTTTTTTCTATGATATTGTATTATTTGCAAATATAATTTTTCGAACATTGATACTTGCAAAATATATGTACATATAAATTTTGTGAATGCAAATAATAATACACCACTATTAGTACATATTGAATGTTTTTGTTAAATTAGATCGATTTTCAAACCCCAAAATTTAAAATATATTTTACAACCCATTATCTTATGTACCTATTCATTATTTGTATATTGTAAAACATTTGCTGCATTTGTATGGTTCATAGTTTATTTGCCAAAGTATTTATTACTATAAATAGGTATATATTATATTTATTAACTGTATATTTCATGTAAACTATATCATTTTTAAAATACAAACCAAAAATACGAGGAATAATTATGTTTTCCATGTATTCTACAACATATTTATTAATCCGTATCTAATTGGCGTGACGTCATAAATCTCGCTCCGAGGCTGTTCTATTATAGACGGCATTGGTCTGATATTTAGAAATGTCAAAAGCTGATGACATTTTACTTTTGACAATTATGCGATTTCGTGTTGATTTTTGCAAGAAGAGGAAGAACTGTCACTTGTTTCATTATTTTCCTTTTCTATTTCACGAAAGTAAAAAGAGTTACCTATCTGATTCGTTCAGGCACTCAATTTAAAGAATACTTAAAGAATATCAGTAACTTTTTTGACAGAGGGATTTTATATTTGTCATGTTGGTAAAAAATAACGGTCAAAATTCAAAGTTATTCATTTCATAGACTATATTAGAGTATCAATAATTATTATAATTATACAACCATATTTTCGATATCTTATCAGAAACTTGGTATACATAATTACAGAATATTATATCAATATTTAAAACTAATTAACTTTAATCCTTCTTTAATTAAAACATTCTATTTAGAAAATTACGCTTTATGTTTGCAATGTGCATCATATTTTTAATATTAAAAAACAGACGTTTAAATTAAACAAACAAATCTTTTAAATATTGCTGCATATAAAGAAATATTTAAACTGGTATTTTTTTATAACATTAACCGCAATTGTAATTTATAAATAACTCATTGCAAATAAAAACCCAATTGTTTATCGTGTTTGTTTAAATAATAATAATTGTCTTATCTTGCAAATTCATTTAATTATGAAACAAATACCGAAAGCGTAGGAAACGTTTTTAGATTACATTTCAGTATTTCATGTTTTAAATTACGCTTTAAAAAAATTAATTAAAATGAAAGAATAATCCATCGGTCATGGAAAAGCATTTCCATTTCAGATTAATGCTATTGTAAAGGTTGATTAATTCAAAAGAATCATTCATGAATGACAAAGATTTTTTAATATTAAAATTTATACAAAGTGCTTGAGAATGTTCAAAGTATGAAATACCATCATCAGTAAATATAATTCTACTACACAAGCTATTTTCCAAAATTATTTTAGAAATTTTATTGCAAAAGTAAGCGTTTTTTTAAGCGTCAATTCCGGAAGTGCTGCCGAGGTTTGGTTGATTTCAAAAAATTCCGACCGCAGCGCTCTATACGGCAGAAATCAGAAATTTTCGCTATGTATTTCACGCCGTTCCGGTTACAGTTCATGTTGATCGCATTAAAATGGTATTGAAATGGCGGTTCGTATTGAAATCGATCGAAAAAAACGGCCTCAAAGACGGTTGGGGAATGATAGTCGATGACTTTATGCGAGGTCAATTTATAGACGTCATTTACTAAAAATTAACATAAAACTTGTCAAACATTAACACTAATTATAGAAACCTTAAAAAAGGATAGAACGTTTTCAGAAACACGAATCTAGGTATTTCCTAAAAACGAAATATATAAAAGTGATAAAAAAGTGAAAATATACACTAATTTCGCGCTCAGCCTGGGACACCCTGTAGTAGTTTGGATATGGCGTTTGTCGCCTCAGCCTGAATATCTGTTGGTAATTTACTTATTTCGTTTTGAGCCATTTCTGACTCCAATTCAATCAACAATCGAACCGCGAAAAACCGCGAATACATATATTAGTATATGTTATTGTTACATGTTGTTGTATGTACATATATTTTTTTAATTATACCCTGTATTAATTGCATATTGCAAAAAATTAGAATTGCAAACATTTCTCAGAAAAACAAACGAATCATTCTTTTCTTACTAACCAGGCGAGTTCTTCTCCAATAGACCGTCAAATTTGAATAATAATCGCTTCCCACCATTTATCTAAGACAGAATTAACTCCAATAATAAACGCCTATTGTTTATTTTCTTTATTTACCCGCCTACTATAAGGCAAAACGTCTATTACATAACCGAGGAACCAGTTTCAATCTGATCTGTTTGCTTTTTTTTCGATCCTTTCATTTTACCACGGAGAAAAAACGCCGCAAATTCAAAATTTTAAAACTCTGTTGGCGGTTGGCGTTGTCCAGCGGTCCAAATGAAATAATTAACATGGCTTTCATACAAACCACGCATCTGTTTCTCATTTTTTTCTTGGGTTTACCTAAAATTAAACAACCGTAGTCCTTTAAAAATATCCAATAACGGTCACGCAAACCATTAGTATACCTAAAAGTCTTTTATAGACGCCGTCACAACAGGAAATCCAGGTTTAATCGATAGAATTACGGGCTCTCGTAACGCAGTTGCCAAATGTCACGTCAAAGGGCAAAGGCACAGGCGTGAAACTGATAAAATACACGTAATCGAAATAGGCTGGAGTTTAATCAACTTAAATCCGTCCAATAAATCGTTTAATCTGACGGTAAAAAATAAACAAGTGTGCTAATCTCGAGGAGAATTTATGTAAGCCGGCAACGCCTCAGTGTAAAATCCAATTTACACGTCTCCAGTATTTATCTGGTCGGTTGCTTGTGCATATCGGTGCTCTGTCTCTCTCGGTTTCGCTTATCGATACGGTAGGAAATGGATTCAGTAGGCTGCTGCCAGGGCCTGATTAAGCATATTTCAATATTTTTATTAAAAAAAAACGACTCCAGGTAGATTTTCGATAATAGATGATGAGAGAAAAAAGGCAGATGACGGCCATACCAATTCATTATTTTCACCAACAAAAAGTTTTTTAAGTTAAATATGGACGAGTTTATCTGTCATGCGTCTTCTGTCACTATAATGCAGTTTTATTGTTTTATTTTAAAAATTACATATCATACTTCAATATAATTAGAGTCACGGAATAATAGACGACGCACGGACACAGATGCGTGTTAACTCAACTTAAGATTTAGCCCGACCAAAAGCGCTAAAGGCCCACAGATGGGCAAATACCTGGTATATTAAAATTTGGGCAAATACCCGATGTTTCTTGCATCCGGTATAAAAAGTGTCCGGGTGTGTCTAAAAATTGCCTCACCCTTGTAACTTTTTTATTTTTTCAGATAAAAAACGAGATTTCGAATGTTAGTATATGACATAAATTAGGATTGATTGACGTATTCAATTCTTTTTCAACCACTTCCTGTTTCACCGGAAATTACTACAACTTTTGATTTTTAAATGGCACCCTCGGTATTTTTTTACTTTATTCGATAGAAAATAACACTCTGAATAGAATGACATATCATAGGTTAACTTTTGACATTTTTACATATGGTTTATTTGAAGTTATAACATGCGGTTCATAACAAAAATTTGATTTGAAATGCCTAGTGTTTGGTATCAAATTATTCTTAAAAAATGCTTTTTCCAAATATGCTAATGAGCCACCCTTGTTCCTTTTGAAAAAATTGATTAAAAATACGATTTGGGCATCTTTTAACCGACCAGGATAAAACACTAAAAACATTAGAAGATCAAATCAATTTTTCCAAGGCTCCTTGATTAAAAATTAGTGTTTTTAACATAGCCATAGCACTCTAAATTAAAATTTAAAATACGATTTTTTATTAAGCGAAACGTAAAAAATTGACATATGATATGTCATTCTATTCAGAATGTCATTTTCCAATAAATAAAGTAAAAAAAATACCGAGGATGCCATTTAAAAATCAAAAGTTGTAGTCATTTCCGGTGAAATAGGAAATGGCTTTTTATTATCTGAAAAAATAAAAAAGTTATAGAAGTTTTGAGAGGCACCCGGTATACCAGGTATATACTATAGTCCCTTTGATAAAATATAACTATTAGTCCCTTTACTTTATAATAATTATATAATTATACAGAAAAGGAACGATAGAGATTATAATATTATTGATAAATATGTAAATGTAAACCTAAAATATTTTATTACTCTATGACACTTTAATAAGTAGAGCAGATATATAATTTAAAAATAATTAATAAAAGAAATAAAAGTCATTTCATCATTAATTAATTTAAAAATTTATATAAAATCGTCCTGGATCCGACTCTGTCGATTTGAGTACGAGTTTGCGCGATCGACGCGCCATCTGGCCACGGTTATCGAACTATTCCGAGCCATCGAGAACAAAAACGAGTTGAGTTCGCGAATGTCCGCTCCGGCTCCAAAACACTGACCTGCATTGGCCAAGTCGATATTTTGTTAATATAACATAAACACGGTCTAAAATGAACGTCTAGTGATTTAAAAGTGAAAAAGTACCACATCCCCCGCTGAAATTGTGCTTGGTTTAGTGTATTTCGGGTACAAAAACGATTTTTTACCGGGCGTGGTCATCCAATAAACAAAATTAGTCACCAAAGTGGCAGCCGCGTCGTGATCGGAGTTTGACAGTTGTTCGGAATCCCATCGAGAAACGATGTCGACAGTGTACCTAGTTTAGTTTGCCGGTTCGAAAATTGAAAAATGAGTGCGAATAACGTTAACGTAACCGTTCCCACCACTCAAGCAACGGCGACGATCAAGAGTCGGCCGAACATCATGCCCAGCAGTTACATGTACACATCGAGCAGCGCTCTGCTAAATCGCAACACCGAAAACAAACCGACTCCGCCGCCTACTCTGCCAAAATACACTTCCAGTTTCAATGCTGGCAGCGGCCTAACCAGAGAAAGGGACAAGGATTCGATTGGAGGCTCTTACAGACTGTCCAGTTTAGATAGACTCGCCATGAGACAGAAATTTATGGAACAGCAGAGCCCTACAAATGGGACGGCACCCCAAACGCAGACGAATGGGGATGGTGGTGTCACCACCCTTCAGTCAAAAAGGGAAATGTTTTTCTCTAATACAGGTAAGCCAAAATGATTTACACTTTTTAATATACATTTTTAAAAAAATACCATTTATTTTCAGTTACTACTACTGACCAAAGCAACAAAGACTCAAATAGATTGAATAAGACACCCAGCATTGAGAAACCAGCAGTTCCTGAAAGAAGAGAGACTGCAATAGATTCAGCAGTGAAGGAAAACAAGGATGAATCTAGTAAAGAATCTAGTCCAGAAATTATAAAAGAAAGACCCAGAGTGAAGGAATTAGATGGTTATGTTGGCTTTGCAAACCTCCCTAACCAAGTGTACAGAAAAGCTGTTAAAAAAGGTTTTGAATTTACACTTATGGTGGTTGGAGAAAGTGGTTTGGGCAAGAGTACATTGATAAATTCAATGTTTTTGACAGAGATTTATAACGCTAGTGATTATCCAGGTCCTACACAAAGGTTAAAGAAAACAGTGGCAGTGGAAACAACGCGCGTCATGCTGAAAGAAAATGGAGTTAATTTATTACTCACCATGGTGGACACACCTGGTTTTGGTGATGCAGTAGATAACAGTAATTGTTGGGTGCCAGTCATTGAATACATCGAAAGTAAATACGAAGATTACTTGAATTCAGAGGCCAGAGTTACAAGAAAAATAACTCCAGACAAAAGAGTTCACTGTTGTCTTTATTTTATTCAACCCTCAGGACACGGATTGAAATCTTTGGACATTGAATTTATGAAAAGACTTTGTGATAAGGTGAACATCATTCCTATAATTGCCAAAGCAGACACATTGACTTCAGAGGAATGTGCCCTGTTTAAAAAACAGATCATGACTGAAATTGCTCAACATAAGATTAAAATTTATGAATTTCCTGACACTTCGGAGGAAGATGAAGAACATAAATTGAATAAATCATTAAAAGAACGAGTACCGTTTGCTGTGGTGGGATCCAATGTTGTGATAGAGGCTGAAGGTATGTTGAATGTGAGTTTTAACTATTTTAAAGATTATTAATGTTTTTATTTGTTCACAGGTAAAAAAATCAGGGGTCGTCGATATCCTTGGGGCATAGCAGAGGTGGAAAACTTGGAACATTGTGATTTTATAGCGCTCAGAAACATGGTGATCAGAACCCATTTACAGGACTTGAAAGATGTTACCAATAACGTTCATTATGAGAACTTCAGGTGTAGAAAATTAGCTGGCCTGAGTACAGATGGAAAAATGTCCAGAATTTCAAATAAAAATCCTTTGGCTCAGATGGACGAAGAAAAGAGAGAGCATGATGCCAAAATGAAGAAAATGGAGATGGATATGGAAGAAGTAAGTTTTGATACTTAACAAAATCTATTTTGTGACTAAATTGTTTTTATCAGATTTGTTGTTTTAAATATTGTTTAATAATTTTATTTATACTGTTAATTTCAATCTTGTTGTTTCTTTCTAGGTTTTTGAGACCAAAGTGAAGGAGAAAAAGCAGAAACTCAAAGACAGCGAGACTGAACTAACCAGGCGACATGAAGTGATGAAGAAACAATTGGAACAGCAAGCTAAAGAGCTTGAAGAGAAGAGGAGGCAATTCGAGATGGACAAGGAGTGTTGGGAGAAGGAAAACCAAGTAACCATCGAAGACCTTCGCCGAAGAAGCCTGGAAGGTTCGAGGGAAACTGTCGATGGTAAGAAAGAAAAGAAAAAGAAGGGACTGTTCTAATGTGAAGTGATAGGGTGTGGTTTAAAGTGCATCCTGAGAATTTGTGTTGATTTTTTTACGAGTGGCGTGAACTTTTGAGTATATATTTCTGACAAAAATATACCTGGCGAGCTCAAGACTTATATGCACTTTGCTTAAATACGGAACATATGGCGACACAAGCACAGTAAGCATTGTAAAAATAATCTACATTTATTTTCTCATTTTCTATTAATGTGTAATTTATTTTTAAGAGATTAAAACAATTATATAAACCTTATATAAGGAGATAAAGGTATTTTGAAGTGGCTAAATAGAGTTTTGGACTTAATACCTGTTAACCTGTAATAATGAAAGGGGTTTCTTCTGTGTTTAATTTATTTTTTTTTGGTAGTAGAAAAAAAATAGAAGTTATAGCATTTGAAAAGTAGACTTTCTTTGTAGAATTAAGATTTTTTATAAAATATTAAATGTATTGAAAGTAAATACATTGAATTTAAAAGGGGGTTACCAAGTTTGTTTATTTTTAGATATTTTTTTATCTGTAAATATCAATTCAGATAATGTATAGATTACGGAATAATAGGTTTTTAAATTATATTTTTTTACTATGATTATAAAATGAATAGAATGAAGGCCACTTCATAGAGGTATAGTCGCCAAGGCTGTTGTTTTTCTTTTAATAATCGAGAATAATCGTAGAAAACTATTATAGTATACAAATGAATAGTTTTAGAATTTTAATGTTAGCCTGGAGCATTTTCCTTGCAGAAAATCAGATTTTAAACTACATATTTCACAGAGAATTAACAATACAGAAGCGATAGGGTTTTTTTTTTCAGGGGTACAAATTAAGTAAGTCCGTCATTTTTTAGATTAAAACCGTGTAAAAAATGATAATGTAAAAAATATAGTGTTTTACACGTAACAAATTATCTTTAAAAAAGTTTTTTACGTGAAATTTTTTTTATTGAAGTGAAACTTTTTTTACGCGCGCTGGGAGTAAAAATTCAAGGCCGTGACACACCAGCTAGCGAGACGGGCGTGACACAAGCTGGCGAGACGAAAAGTGGTAATGACAGCCTACGGCTTAGAAATACGTAGTAACGCGATGTGTATTTGTGAGCAGTCCACATGTTTATCAAAAATATTGATATTTTAATTGTTTATTAATTTTTTATTTTACGCGTATATAACTATTTGTTACACGTAAAAACTATTTTTACGCGTATAAAACTGTGTTACACGTAAAAAACTATTTGGTATAATTGGTAAACGAAAAAAAACTTTTTGTTAACGCAAAAAATTATTTTTTACGTGTAATAAAATTTTTGCGTGTAGAAAAAATATTTGCGTGTAGAAAAAATATTTTTGCGCGTAGAAAAAATATTTTTGCGTGTAGAAAAAATATTTTTGCGTGTAAAAAAGTATTTTTTACACGTAAAAAACAAATTGTTACACGGAAAAAACTATTTTTACGCGTGAATTTTTTTTTAATTTATTATTTTTTCAACTACACTTTTTCAAACATGTCATTCAAATCCTTCAATTTGATAGCTGTTAGTTAAGAAGTTATTCTTACTAACTCTCTTAACTTATTGTCGCTTCTGTATAGTTATTGGTATTGGTATTCTGTGACTATTTGACTGGATGTAACAATTTATAAACTGCTCACACTGAAATCAGAAAATCTAGTACACAAAGATCCATAAATAGTTCTCGAACTAAATTTCTTCAGCCTTATCAAGCAAAGAAAATGCTCTCACGTGACCAAAACCAGAAAGAGAAAACGAAATTACTAGTATTTTGTATCTAAATATATTTATTTAGAACAGTCCATAGTTAAGAGATATAATTATACTGCCAAAAAAAAACAGAGAGGCTAAAGAAGCTAGTTAGGATTAACGCAAGCGTCCTTTAAAAGCTTTGAAAAAAATTTCCATTGTATAAAATTGATGTTTTAGGTGGTAAAATACCTGTAAAAATATGAATTCTAGTAATGTCACACTCTAAACCCTGTAAACTATAAGTAAATCATATTTTATGTCCTACTAGTTCATTATTTTTAAATAAGAATCTCAAAATATATTAATTATATATTAAAATATAAATTAATATATTTCTTCAGAAAAAAAAACATTATTTTCAAACAGTTTTAATATTTTGTACAGGGTGGTCGTGTTTTCGTGTGTTTTACTAGGTTTCTCGTTTAAGAATAGACGATGGTTTTCATATCAGTTCATTTAAGTTTCATCAAGCAAAATTATTTGGTTACATAAATTAAATAATATTACCTACTCTCTTAAACTAGGTTGATTATGTTAAAAAGTTAAACAATGCATTTTTTTACTTTATCTATGAAAATAAATTTAGAATATATTATATATTTAGAAAGCTTATAACATGGCAAATAAAATAAAAACATTATATACAGGGTGTCCCATTAGAAAAAACTATAATTTTGAGTCATATTTCGAAAATATACAGCTCTCAGTTAGGCCACTGGATTCCACGTGAAAAACTACCGGAAAACTACCTACTCATTTTTCACCTTTTTGATAATTTATAACCAAGATACGAGGGGGGTCGAAAAAATGCAACATTTTAAAATTCGCCCAGTATTTCAGCAACTAAAAAGGCCAGAAAAAATCTGTGTGTATCATCTTTAGTTTTGTATCATCAAACCGTATTTTTGTATCTCTACTCATACTAAACGAGAGACCCCATAAAACACACAAAATAGCACACCCTGTACTGTAACAATTACTTAAACTATTTTTATCTGATTAACATGAAAAGTCAACTTTTTTACGCAAAATAGATACTACAGGATTTTCAATAATTTGAAAATTAATAATAAATATTAAATATCATACTGGTAGGATAGAAAATTTTGAAGATACCATTGAGTTTTACGAGTTAAATGCTCTAATGTACAATATAATCAAAAATTTTATGATCAAGCGTACTTTGATGACAGATAAACAATTCCTATGCAAAATTACATACATTTGAATTGATTTATCTGTTAAGGTCAAAGCCTGCTTGATCATAAAACTTTTGATCATATGTTACACCTCTTACACATTAAAATTGACAACTTTTTTGGCTCATGGTGTCTGTGGTATCTTAATATCTATAATTAAACAGTCCTGAAAGTGACAGATGAATGATTTTGGCAACAAAAAAGTAAAGTTATTTTAACTGGCACTCTTATTTTCCACGATTTTTGAGATAAATTCTTGAAATCCACATAATATAATCCAGATCAGGATAAAATTAGACATTATAAGGTGTTTAAAAAGGTGTTAAATGGATTATCAGATAATTGAAAGAAAAAATATATGTTTTTTTTTTGTGCATCCTGTATACAATACATTTTGTATAAATAATATTTTGAGTAATTATTTATCTTTCAGTTTCAGAGCCTACTAAATTATATTTATCAAATGATCTAATGGTCATATTTATCAAATGATCTAATTTTTTCTTTACAACTGTCAGTAAGTTATAACAAAACTTATTTTTTTTTAAATTGTTTGAACAGTTGTAGAAAAAAAAATAACATGAATAATATCGGTTGTAAAGATTTTTCCATATTTTTTAAAGGATAATTCTGTTTGCTTTTTAACGTACGTATTATAGTTGTAAATTTGTCTTTTCCAAAACAAAATATTGAGACTGTTGTATGATTCGCTTGTAACAAATATGGAATAGCGTTGTATGTGTGCCATTTTTTTGTATCCTTTTCATTTCTCGAACTCGTGGGTTAAGTAAATATTGTATTTGTATAATAGACTTAAACATATACCAGATTTTAAATATATTTATTTTTAATTTCTTTAGAATATCGCTGTTTGATATTTCAACCCGAATGAATACTTTTCTAGTGACTCAGCTGAGTAAATCACTTGTGTATATATTTAGACACGTTTTTAATTGTTTTTCAACTGCAAACAATAGAGGTTTTTAGCGGTTTGCAATAATATTTTCTCTTTGTTATTGAATGTATGTTGTTGTAAAGATAACGAAAAATAGCAAAGATAAGTTGTAGGGAGGTCTATTTTAAAGAAAAAAAAGTATCGATATTTCGATCCATTTTTAAAAGTTTGTTAATTTTTAAATTTTGGAATAATGAAAAAATTGTGAGTTATCAAAAGATGGTCGTCAATATTTGTCATCAGATACTTTGATTAGTCTAAAAGTATCGGCAATAGTGTTTTAAACCGGACTTGTATTAGATATTTCTTACAAACTACAAGAAGCTTTTATCATATAAATTGTGTAATAGAATAAATTGATTTGATTTGATACAATTTAAAGTATATTTTCTTCTTTTTAGATAAAAGTTTATTTTTAAACATATTTTTAATTAATAATTTTGGTTTTTAATAATTTAGATCGATGGAGCTAGTACGCTTAGTAGATAGATCGATAATTTCCAAGAAAAAATCGATACATCTTGCACATCCTTAATAGATATGTTGTTTTTGCGGTTTTTCTTATCCCTTATCGGCCAACTACATAATAAAAGAATAATAAAATTAATAATTTAGAAAAGTTTAATGAACCACTGTGTTTGTGTACTTTTAGTTAAGCCACGTCTACACATAACGTTTTACCGGTCAGGTAAGATGGATTAAACTAACGTAGCGCATACAATGGAAGTTTTATCTGCTGTTTTTTAAAATAATAACATTGTGTTTCTTGAAGTTGCAAAGAAAAAACAGGGAATTTTACTAAAAAATTTATAAACAGGCAACCAGTACATTTTGTACATTTGTTGCTTTAAGAACAATCTAAAATGTCAATATTCCACGGGTATATTGATAAATGAGGTCTAAATTATAAGAAAATGCATTTTCTACAAAAACTTGAAGTGATAGGTAAAAACTAGTATAATACAATTTGATAGACAATTAAATTGTGCATCTGATTCTCCTGAAATATACAGGGTGTTCCATTTAAACTAAACAAGTTATTGCCGTTTAAAGCTAGAAATTATTTAAAATACATTTTTAGACACTCTGTATAAGATAGTATTATTTTTATTATTGCAACACGATAACTGATTAATAAATAATAAACTTCAGTAAATATTTAGTGTTAAAAACTTTGATACCCTTGGAGAAATGAAGCCTTAAATTTTTTACTGCACAATTTCACAAAATTGAAAATATTTCAAAAACGGTAAGGTTTAAGTGTGATAAACCTTAATCAAATTTACCTTTATTTTAATCGTAGAAACTAAAAATGTAATAATATACAGGGTGTTCCATTTAAATAATACAATTTTGATATTTTTCATTTATTTGGGACACTCTGTATCTTGTAAAAATATTTTTAACTCAAAACTTACAATTTGTAAAAATCTAGTCGTTTAGCTACAATACTGCTCCGTATACATAATGTGGCGAACAACCCTGTATAATATTTTTATTTTACCTTTTCAGAGGTAAGACCTGTAACTTCTTCGGGAAGAATTTTAGGGCATATGTTCATAGGAACTTTTTGTTTTATTTTTATCTGTAGAATCACTCACACTATTTTTTTGGCACCCTGTATATCCATATTATTTTTTTTGTAATCTATACTAAATATATATAAAATTCATAAGTGACTGACATACTGATTAATCACGATCCTGCTCAAACCACTCAACGTAAGAAGCTCAATTTTAGCATACAGGTTAATTCTAGGGCGTAGAGGTTCGATAAGAAGGGATTTTTCGAAATTCCAGTTTGAAGAGGGTGAAACCACCCATCAAATATTACAATATTTTTTATTTAAAAAACGGGCAAGTTTCCGAAAACACGCTTAAACACGTATATTTTGTTTTGCTTTTTTACATATTTTAAGATTTTTTAAAAATGTATACAAGGTGTTTCAAAAAATCTGGTCATTGATTAATCACGATCCCGCTTAAAGCGCTTGACGTAAAAAGCTGATTTTTGGAAAACAGATTGACTTTAGGGTGTAGAGGTTCGATAAGAAGGGATTTTTCGAAACTCTAATTCTAAGGGGGTGAAACTATCCCTCAAATATTAAAATATTTTTTATTTAAAAACCGGAGAGTTTTTCGGAAAACCTTTAAACACGTATATTTTATTTCGTTGTTTTACATATTTTAAGATTTATAAATTTATACAGGGTGTTTCATAAAATATGACCATTGAGTAATCACGATTCTGCTTAAACTGCTTGAAGTTTAAAGCTGATTTTTGGCAAACGGATTGACTGTGGGGTGTAGAGGTTCGATAAGGAGGGGTTTCTCGAATCTCAAATTCCAAGAGGGTGAAAACGTCCCCCAAGTATTACAATATCTGTTATTTAAAAAGCGGTTAGTCTTTCGGGAAAACGCTTGGACAAGCATAATTTATTTGGTTTTTTATATATTTTGAAATTTTTTAAAAAGTCATACAGGGTGTTCCAAAAAGTTGGGTAATTTCTTAACCACGATTCTGCTTAAACTGCTTGACGTAAAAAGCTTATTTTTGGCAAACGGATTTTTCGAAAGTCAAATTCCAACGAGATGAAACTACCCCTCAAATATTACCAAGTTATATAATAATATCGCCATATTGTTTTTTCTCATGCTGACATAAATCTGAGAAAATCTTATCCAGTTTGTATGTTAATGGAAATTCTTGCTTTGTTTTATCATCACCATTACAAATGATTAATTCGACGCGAACGAAGTCGCTGGTACACGCTAGTTTACTTATATTTTTTCCAGTGTAGGCAAAACGACACAGTTTTGTTAATTCAGTTCAAGTAAAACGGACCTTTTTTTCGGCTACACACAATAAGGTTTTAGTTGATACGTATTGACTAAACAGGTAAGATTGAGAGGTAAAAAGGTTTTGTCGTAGGTATATAATCTATTACCAAACTACACGAAAAAACTCTTTAGGGCGTACGTAGAAAGAATGATGTAAATCTAATGAATTTACATGAGAACCAACCATGTAATTATACCTTCCTTTCTGTCTATTAACACCTACAAGTTTATGTTGAAAGTAGTTGCTTGTTTTTTGAAACGCCCCATGCATCTAGTCATAAACTATATAATCAACCAAAGGAAATATCAATCCTTTTATGTTTATTTTAGTTCGAATCTATATAAGCTCTCTCTTTTATCAGTCTATAAACATAAAGCATTCCATTAGAAATTCAAATACAAACATTGAGTGTATTCTTTCCCGACCTCTAAATTCTTTTAAATTTTGTTTGTAGAAAACTGTTTTCTTTTAAATTTATTGCCCTCTATTATGTAGTAGCGAAACTACTACATCAAAATATCTGATTTGGAGACAGACTTTTAAAGCCTGTCTCCTTTTGCTACCTACAATTTTATACATGTAACGAGGCTTCTGTTGCGTAGCTAGATATTCTGTGGTAAGATGTTTAGGACTTCCATTCATATAACGTACAGTTTTTTTTAGAGCACGACGTTCCAACCCTCTTAAATATTAGCATGCTATTGCGGACACCCTGTATAGAAATAGATTCTGGATATAATAATGATTTATCAAAACACGTTGGATAAGAATTGCGTTTAATTATGTCATAAAATACAGAGTGATTTATTTGAAATAGTCGACAAAAATAGATCAACTGTGTTTGGCTCACCCTGTAAGACGATATTATAAAATATTTTCTATTAAAAAATGTAAATAATTTTTTGTAATTTATAATTTTGGGACAGATTTAAATGTGCAGAAATTTTGAAAATCTAAAATTTGTCATATTTCAAGAACCACTCAGTATAAAGTATGACAATACGGTATTTTTTGGACCAACCATTTTATGTATACCACAACATTCCCTTTAAAAGCTACAACTTTAGTTTAAAATATATTTTTAAAATCTACTATGACCTGAATTAACACACCCTGTAATAATTTTCAAACCCTATTATCAACACTTCCAATTAATATATTACGTAAAGATCCCTATAATGACAGTAAAATCTATTCTCTAATAGATGGCGCCACAAGGAAACGTGTATTTTGGGTTGCGTACAACTCAAAATAAGTTAGCGTATTTTTTCGCGATATAATTTAATTAAAAGCTTTAAATTTAATTTCTCACTTACCTTTCTGACGTAAGAAGCTTGCGGATGGTGTTTTACCGGCATAAAGTACAGTCGCAGTCTGTCAAAAAGCTGAATACCATCGGTAGATGCGACTCCCATGTATAAGAAGATTCCGAACAAAACCGCCATGGGCATTAGACGAAGCAGAGGAGACATAAATACTGAAAGACCTGAAAAAAATATAAAAATATAATTTATCTAACATTTACTGCGAGAAAATCAGTAATAAATATATAACAAAGAGATTTTTAAATGATTTATTGTGTATCCTAATTCAATGTGCGAAAAGCGCATCTTGGCGCAAAAAAGTTAAGGCTGCGTTGGATTGACACATACACAGATTTCGGCAAGTGTTTTTCGATCGGTTTGTTCATTTCACGGGACTAAATAAAAGTGTTTTTAGTGTGTTAATAATAAACTTAAGTGTGTGGAAAGTTACATTTTTGAATATTTGGTAATGGTAAGTGTTTATTTTTACTTATTAACTCCTTGCATGTTTTGTATAAAAGATATATTAAAAAAAGTTGTAGTAAGTTGCTTTTCAATATTAGCGTTTTATGTTCATAGAAAATCATTTATGCGAAAATGTGAATACAAAATTAATATCTACATATGTATATGTCTTTAGTTATATATTACATTTAATATATTAATATAATTTTATTCGCAATAGAGTAAAAATATTTTAGATTTTTTAAAATATAATAGCTCTTTTAAACTTTGGACGAGTCCATATTTTGCGCGTCAAGGGTAGTTTGGTATATTTCTGTTCTATTGGGCATGTATTGGGCTTTTAGCTGTTTTTAGCATTTTTTTAGTTTAACATAGGCATAATCCAACTTTAAAGTGAGGTCCAGACTGAAAAGTGCGTCTGGACTGCGCTTAATATTAAAAAATTGTTTAAATCTACATTTTTTAGTTCTTCATAGAATTTAGAATATGTTAGTTACGCATCGATTTATACAGTAATAAAAATAAGATACAATGCAATTCTGAAATGCTACACATTTTATGAAGTATAAAATTAATTTATAATTATCAAAAATATACTGGGTGACCCAGTTTTCCGAAAAAAATCCTCATTAGGTTTTCTATGTAAATTTTTCAATACAGTTTTATTGTAGAAACTGCTGGTGATAGAAAAATATTTTCATAGATATACAAGACGATTCAAATACAGGGTGTTTTATAAAAACTATGTGCCATCTCTCGTGGGGAGATTCCTCACGTAAAAATATGATTTATTTTTTCTCTCAACATAACTCCGATTCTGTTTTGTTTCCTAACTACAGGGGGGTAAAGTTTTTATTATTTTTCGAATTATTACAATTTTCTTCCAAGTGCTTTAAGCGATTCGAATGAATTTGGATGGTAAATGTTACTATAAGTGAGAGAAATGAATTAAGAGATAATAAGAGAAATGAAGTCTTAAATTTTTTACTGTAATATCACAAAATTGAAAATATTTCAAAAACGGTAAGGTTTAAGTGTGATAAACCTGAATCGAATTTATCTTTGTTTTTGTCGTATAATATAAAAATAGAATAATATACAGGGTGTTCCATTTAAGAAAAATACAACTATAAGATTTTTTATCTGTATCTTGTAAAGTTATTTTTAAATTGTAACTCTAATAGTCCTTTAACGAACCCAAAACTTACAATTTCTAACTAACAACCCTGTATAAAGCTATATTTTTTCAAACTCAATGTTTTTTTTTTGGTTTATACAAAATAGGATATGTGAAAAACTTATGATACCTACCAACTAAAATGGCAACGACCAAACTGGACAAGCGTTGTTCTTTCACTTCGATTAAATGGGGTTTTTCGCCAGGGGCGTGCGTCCTGGACATGATGGTCAGCGCATTGGTGTGCGCTATGCTGCGCACAGTGGCGGCGCACATCCAGGGTAGGCCGAAAAATCCGGCCATTACGTTGGTGATGCACAGGATAACAATGTCCAAGTGGAAACCTCCTCCTTTTTGGAGTTTGCGCTCTTTTTTGCCCAAAATTAACCTGAAAATAAAGATTATGTCCTGTTATACAGTATGTCCCCGGATTGTCTTTACAAGAGGAAAAAACTTTTTTATTATTGACATTTAAAGGAAAATGCATTTTGCTTGTTCTAAAATGGTTAATCCCGTTTATACTTTTCCAAATTTCCATACCGTTTAAGAGAAAATTAAAAAAAAAACACAGGTTATATTTTCATGTTTTTTTTTAATTTTCTCTTAAACGGTATGGAAATTTGGAAAAGTATAAACGGGATTAATCATTTTAGAACAAGCAAAATGCATTTTCCTTTAAATGTCAATAATAAAAAAGTCAACCGACTTTTTCCTCAAGGATCAAAAATCAAAGGCGTTTCTATGGTAACATCATTTTGATGTCATTCTTCGATAGATGGTTCTTGTTTATTTGTATTAACGTCATGTTTTTGCTGTTATTAAACCTATGTATTAAACTCATCACATTTTCCAATAACTATTATTATCCTTTCCGTAGCATTAAACTAAGCCAAAAATATGACGTTAATTAAAATTCTATCAATAATCCATATCCATACATATATAAAAGCTCAAAGGTTTTTTTTGTTACATCCATCCCGCTGAAACCGGTTTACCAATAGTGATGATTCTTTTTTTAAATGAAAGGTATATTATATGTCTAGATTTGTTATGAAGTATTTTTATATTGTTTAATGACTACTTCTTTGTGTTAAACGACTAAATATTAAATAAATACCTCCAGAAATAAAATATTTGTCATTGTCAGTAGTGGTGTGTCAGTTAGATTATATATCAAATTTTTAGATATTTTAGGGTTCAGTTCATACTGCCAGCTTTAGATACATAAATACTAGCACAAGGGTTCGTTTAAATGACATTAGTGATTAGTGAACTAGCTTCGTTAAGCGATTTTAAGAAATTCGTCCTCTTAGAGTGTAAAATTATGTTGAAAATTTGTTTTATGAAAATTTCTTACTATCTGGTCTAGAAGAATGAAATTCTACAGAAAGAATTAGAAGAGATTTTTGAAATTCATCAACCAGATGGCTAAAGTTAGTAAAAATGTATATAAACCTTCGTGACCTCTGGATTATACAAACAAAAATTTGCACAAAGGATACTTTAAAAGACATGAGTTAATTATTTGGACAAAGCGAATTTATGAAATTCATACCCTTAGAGATTAAAATAGGGAATGAAAGTTTGCTGTACGAAAATGCATTACTATAACATCTAGAAGTAAAAAATTTTATACATGGGTATATTTAGTGACATCGATAATATTAACGAAATATTTCTTCTTCAAATCATCCTTCTATGAATAAAAAATAACGTATAAAGAGTGTATTAGTGCTCTTGAAAAATAAAAAAATCAGGGAAGTATATCAAGAAAAGCGACAATTGAAAACTTCAAATATTCAATTAAAAACTTTATATGTCAGAGCTATTTATTTTAGTAATACAGTTTATATAGGTAGGGTTCTATACATAGAGGGTACATAATCATTTCATTATTTATGTTTTTCGAGAGATTTTCTTTTTTCAGATTTTGCAAAATTTCGACTTTGGTTTTAGTGAAAAATAACAAAATCGATTTTTTGAAGGATATACAGGGCGAGTTAAATAAGTGCAATTATTTTTAGCAGTAGTATATATTGACCCCAGAAACACGATTATGAGTTTTTTAGCGAAAATTTTTATTGAAAATTTGAAATTTTTTAAAAAACTTTTTTTTAGTTTTTAGTTAAAAACCATACTTTCTTGATAATATGGCAATAGAATGAATGAATTTACCAGACTCAAAAACCCGAAAAGCTCCAGTGGTTCGGTTTGGTTTCAAAATTTAAGCAAAAAATATATTTTTTTTAATTTTTAAAGTAAAATAACTCGATTATTTTGGAGTTATTTGAAAAACGGCAAAGAGAAAATATGTTTCTTTTATCGAGATCTACCAGCCCTGAAAATATTTGCACTTATTCAAGACTCGCCCTGTATAATACCCAGAAAATCGACAATTGCTAACTTTTATATGAAACACGAGTAGCCCTAAAACTCTTAAAACATAGCATAGACTTAAAAAAGTCAACTATATTTTCATGTTTTTTTAATTTTTCTCTAAAACGGTATAGAATTTTGAAAAATTATAAACGAAATTAACTGTTTTCAAACAGGCAAATTTATTTATTAAGAATGCATTTTTCTCAAAATGTCAATAACAAAAAAGTTTTTCCTCTTTTGTAAAGACAATCCAGGAACATACTGTATACTCCAAGATACATTTCTTTTAATAGAATCAAGATATTCTTCAATTTGAGCACATTTTTTAGTACACTGAAAAAATACAGTCTTACTTACTCGCAAATATGAGTCTCCATAAAAATTAAAATGTAGACCAACATCGCGGGTACGGCCGAAGCAAATATCACCCACGTGGGCAAAGGGTTGTATAAACCACCCGGAGGGATAAACCAGCCTCTGTAATCCGGTCTAGATGGCGAGAGACCCTCTGGTACGTTGAGTTTTTCGGTGTATATTTGGGGTACCATGAAATCGAAGAACACCATTATTATTATAGCGATGGGTACGCCGAAATCACCCAAAGCTCTTCTAGCCTGAAATAAAAATATCTTTTTAGATTTTTATTAAATAATATAAGGGATAATGAAGATAATGCCTGTAGAAATGTGTCATAATAGCTTTTGAAATGATAATTCAGGTTCTTTTATCGTAACAATTTTCCCCTATTAGAATTTTCTTAGCCATGAAAACTGGTGTTAAAAAATCTTTTTTCATTTAATCGGAACTTGCTACTAACTTGTTTATTTTAGTATTTTATTTCTTTACTTACGGATCGTCCCAAAAAGTGACTGTTTCTGAATATCTTTAGGTAATAAGCTATGGTAAAGGTTCCCAGTGTCAGTATGGTGCAAAACAAAGCAGTGTTGGGTTGATTGATGACGATTCCGTTCGGATCTATGGTTGGAACTTTTTCGTATTGAGTCACTTCAATTATTCCTTCTGTCAAGTTGGAATTTGCAGCAAATGAGTCGTTTGTACCGGAGATGTTTCTAAAAATAATATTCACATTCACATTTGGAGTATTTTGTAGTTAAATGACTAGATTTTTGAAAATCCTGATTTCTGAGGTCGCTGATGGACTACTAGAGCTGCCATTAAATTATTTGTATAAGGTCTTGCATAAGAGTGTCCCGAATAAATCAAAAATATTAAAGTTGATTTTTTGAATGAAGAGACTAAGAAATGTATTAGTTGGTATTACTGTACAATTAAAAATTAAAAATGGGACGTTTTTGTACCTTTTGATGATAATTTTATAACTGTAGCTCTAGTAGTCCTTTAACGACTCTAACATACACAATTACTGAAAATGTAACCATTACGTCAATTATACCAAAATAATACCGCATGATCGAAACAAAGACGGCGTCAAAGACGGCTGGGGAATGAAAATCGATAATAATTTTGGCCAAGAGGTCGATCTCTAGAAAAAAATTCTCTTTATCAAAAATTAACACTAATTATCTCAATATAAAAATAAAATCCAACCTTCTTAAGGCCAGCAGCTGAGCTGGTAGTAAGGACCATTAAAAAAAAAGAAGAGTGTGGGCCAAGTAAATGACGACTAAGGCTTGACCTCGCCTAGATTATCATCGATCGTCATTTCCCAGCCGTCTATGACGCCGTTTTTTATTCGATCGTATGGTATAATCAGTAGAATTTTATGATTGAAAGTTAACAACATAATTCGATTCTAAATAAGGGCCATGGAGGGTAGAGGGTAAGGAATATTACCATGTTATTTTTTTAAACAAGATATTTTTTATTAATGTAGCATTTTTCATGGTCTTATACAGTATGTCCCCGGATTGTCTTTACAAGAGGAAAAACTTTTTTTATTATGGACATTTTGAGAAAAATGCAGGGAAAAATGCATTTTGTTATTGACATTTAAAGGAAAATGCATTCTTCATAAAAATTTTGCTAAAATGGTTAATCTTTGGTCTTAATGGTTTGTCTAAAATGGTTAATTCCGTTTATATTTTTCAAAATTTCCATACCGTTTTAGAGAAAATTGAAAAAAAAAACATGAAAATATAGTTGAATTTTTTCTAAGTTCTAAAAATCAACATGCGTTTCTATGGTAATATAGTTTCGATTTAATTCTTTGATAGATTTTTATTGATAGAATTTTAATTAACGTCATATTTATTGCTTTATCAAAATGCTAAAAAAGCACAAAAATTATTTATTTAATAGTTATTAGAAAATGTGATACTTTAACAACAGCAAAAATATGACGCTAATCAAAATTAATAATAATCATCTATTAAAGAATTAAACTGAAATTATATTACCATAGAAATGCGTTTTAATTTTTAGGATTTAGAAAGAAATCAATCATATTTTCATTTTTTTTAGTTTTCTCTAAAACGGAATGGAAATTTAGTAAAGTATAAACGAGATTTACCATTTTCGAACAAGCAAAATTTTTAATAAGAATGCATTTTTCTCAAAATGTCAATAATAAAAAGTTGCTACATGGTTATAACTTATAACCGCCAAGTTCAGTTCGAACTCTTATTGCCTATTAGCGCTACCCTGGGCATTTTTTGAACCTCTTTTGTGACCCCCAATGAGATGATTCTCTTCATCTCTACCCTCCATAATGAGGTTAAAATAATTACCTGAAAGACGTGACCTCATACTCGCAGTAATTGCCCATAATCGGATGCCTGTCGTACACGGAACACACCTTCTGAATACTCTCGATGATATAAAGGAAGACAATCAGCGCAGAAAACACGTCCTCCGTGAACCTGGTGAACAACTTCACCAGAACACTCCCCTCGAACGCAGCCACCACAACCCCTATCACAGCCAACCAAAGACTTATGTATAATCTCACTGTCAAGAACTCTATCCCTTGCGCCTGACAGAACTGGAACAGACTCTCGTCGAATATGATCAAAGGACCAGTAGTCCCAACTATAATCAACGGCTGACCGCAGAAAATGGCAAAAATGATCCCTGCGATGCTGGTGAACAGCAGGTTCTCGCTAATACCCATTTGGTTCTCGGTTTTCATGCCTGCCAGGCCTCCGAAGGCTATGGCACCGCTGACGGCTGCAAAGTACATGAAGATGGCGGCTGCGGCACATTGGGCGTTGAGGCCGTCCAGGATGTCGGATTTGTAGTGGGGGTAGCGGCGGCGGAGGTCGTTGATGAGGCCGCCCCAGGGACGGTTGGTGCGTTCCAGGGGGTCGCCGAAGGGGGGTTTCTTGTCGCCTCCGTCTAGAGAGAGTAGGGGTTTGGTTAGACCTGGAGAATGAAGAAAAGAAGTAGTTAGAAAAAAGTTGCTCGATCTATAGCCTACATTCTACTATTTTAAATCTTTACAATCTATAATTGATCGAATAATATCCAAAATCTCTAGAAAATTCAGTTTTTTAAAAATATGATCGATATCAGGTTAGTCATGATTCAATTAATACAGTTTTCTTGACAGGTAGTTGTCAAGCTACTAATAATAACTCAACTTTTGTCTCATTTAACCGAATTCATATCTCTCCTAGTTTTCGACCAATGTTGAGCAACGAAATTATCACCACCCTCCATATATATAGGGTACTACAAATTCGGGGTACGAGCAATGGTATCTCGGAAACCGTAATAGATACGAAGATGGTTAAATTGGGGCAGTTGTTGCGCTTTGGGATGTTCACCAAGATGCCATCAAAAAAGTTTAAAAAATTTCAAGGATTGCTGAGTTTTTTTGTAAAAACGGATTTTTTGGAAAATCACTTTCATTTTTTCCATCTCTTTCTCAAGCACCCTCAGCATGTAGCTAGCATCATCTCGATCTCTCGTTATCAAAACTTGGTCATCGGCGAAGAGAAGAGTATAGAGCATAGAGTCCCCGATTGGTAGACCCATTCCACCACATCTTCTTTTCCATTTTTTCAGAGCCTCTTCGACATATATCTTAAAGAGTAGAAGGGCTAAAGAACATCCTTGTCTGAGTCCCTTGGAAACAATAAATTCCTCAGAAGAGTTACCGCCCATTTTAATGTAGCTTTTACTTCCACAATAAAGTTTTTTGACTGCGTTAATATAGACTTCATTGATACGATTTTTTTCCATTTTTCCAATCCAACAATTTGGATTGATTGTAAATATGAAAAAGACCGAATACATGTCTGTAGGAAACGACGATCATAGTGATTTGGATATTGGTATGGGCAAAACAATAAAACACTGCTCCAAATTTAAATACCTTGGAGTAACTCTTTCCTCAGATGGCAAAAGCAATGAGGATATACCTAATAAAATTGGACAGGGAAGAAGAATAATTAGGGAACTGAACTCTCTTCTTTGGACCGATAGAATTTCAAGAAGAAGAAACAGATGATGTACAACTCTATCTTTGGATCTGTTTGTACCTACGGATCGGAGACGTGGGAACTCACAAGGAGAAACAAGGATAGATTACTTGCACTTGAAATGGACTGTTGGAGGCGTAGTAACAGAACATCTCGCCTAGATCACGTAAGAAATGTTTGTATAATAGAGGAAATGCAAGTAAATGGTACTATCTTGGATACCATAGAATCCAAGCGATTGCTATGGTTTGGCCACCTTCAAAGAATGGATGATTTAAGAATACCCAAGAGAGTATGGGACTGGATCCCAGTAGAGAGAAGAAAACGTGGAAGACCAGCAACAACATGGCAGAATGATGTTCAGGAAGCCATGCTTGAAAGACAACTGAGAAATGGCGACTGGTGGGACCGGAATTTATGGAAGTCGAGGAGCGGGAAACGACACTAGTCAATTCATTCGAATAATTCGATAGTTAGTAAGAAAACATTCGTTGAAAACTATTCGAATAAAAATTATCGAATAGATCCGTCATCTGCCTTGAAATATTGTATTCTAGTAATTCGGCAGCAAAAACCATTCATTTATAAAATTCATTCATTTATAAAATTCATTCATTTATAAAATTCATTCATTTATAAAATTCATTCATTTATAAAATTCATTCATTTATAAAATTCATTCATTTATAAAATCCATTCATTTATAAAATTCATTCATTTATGAAATTCATTTATTCGTCAGGATCGATTATAATAAAATATTAACTGAATTTTAGTTGTCGCCCGGCGACGTAGGTTTTTTTCCGAGAAAGCGGTCGGTGGCAATGCTATGAAAGAAGCCGGCATCTTTGATTTTTGCGGAGTCATATATAGATAAGGACACATTATTTTTTTTTTATTGAGGTGCTAGTATTTACACAGAAAATACATTATGAAGGGCGCTGTTGCCATATTTTTGTATTAGTTGATATTAGCAAAGAATATTATTGTTTGGCTTTAGTTAGTTAGGGATAGTATGTCTATATATTCTGCATTTTTTTATTAATATTCTGTTGTTACACTGCAATAATACTTGTTATTTTGGATGTAGGAAAATTATTTTTAATGTTTTTAAGCAAAGACTGGTTTAATAAATAATAATAACAGTAATAATTTGTTATACCTATTGACAACAAAATTTAAAATCATTTAATATAAATATTTTTTTAAGTAATAGCAAAATATAAACAACAAATTAGATGTCAAAATTATTTATATTAGATCCTATTTAAAAATAATATAGTCTCTAATTTTTTTGGCAACGTTGGTTTATTAAATAATAATAATAACAGAACTAATTTGTTATATTAACAACAAATTTTAAAATCATGAAATATAAACATTTATTAATTTTCTAAGCAAGCGGTGTAATGGAAGGAAAATATAAATAAAAAATTAGAAATCAAAATTATTTATATTAGGTGCTTTATATTTAGCGATGGGAACTATCGAATGAATTAGACTATCGAATGGTTACTGAATGAATGATTTCAACTATCGAATGGTTCTATTCGAATAAAATCATTCATTCATTTGTATACTAAAGCATATGTGACAACCTCGCCGTGCAACTAAATGGTTATCGTTGAGCCACGACTATCGAATGCTTTTGATAAATGAAATTTAGTATTCGTTTGATTTTTGTGTGCGTCAGTGCATTATTAGTTCTTCCAAATTTTTATAACTTCACCTTATAAATACTGTGCCAATTTTGGGTTTATTAAAATATTTTAAATACTAAAATAGTAGTTTTTTTTAATTGACGATTGTGTGCGTGTGTCAGTGCAGGTGTCAAAATTTTTCCGAAAATTTGTGTGATTTTCCGTAGCCCGATCTTTCAATTATTTTATTTTATATGGTATATATGGTCTATTTTTTAATGGGAAATTTTGAGAAGTAGCAGTTTTTAAGAGAGATGAGATGAACTTAGAATTAATTTTAAAAATACATATTTGTATTTTAGATGTTTTAATAATATGAATTAGTTGAACTTAATAATCATATTTAAGTAATGTGGTTAAGTAAATGGGGGGGGGGGGTTATCGAACTCAAACTATGGGATGAGAAAATTAAATTGAAAGTTTTACACGTGCCAATTTAAAAAAAAAAGTTAACGATATTTGTATTTTATTTATTCTCTTACATGTAGTTTTTTTTTCATTTATTTTTTAAAGTAAATGCCAGTAAAAGTAAATATTATTTTTAAATAGTAATATAAAGTACCTAATATAAATAATTTTGATTTCTATTTTTTTATTTATATTTTCCTTCCATTACACTGCATGCTTAGAAAATTAATAAATGTTTATATTTCATGATTTTAAAGTTTGTTGTTAATATAACAAATTAGTTCTGTAATTATTATTATTTAATAAACCAACGTTGCCACACCAAAAATTTAAAGACTATATTATTTTTAAATAGGATCTAATATATGTTGTATACTGTTATTATTATTTTTATTAAACCAGTCTTTGTTTAAAAACATTAAAAATAATTTTACTACAACCAAAATAACAAGTATTATTGCAGTGTAACAATAGAATATTAATAAAGAAAAATGCAAAATATATAGACATATCAAGACATACTATCCCTAACTAACTAAAGCCAAACAATAATATTCTTTGCTAATATCAACTAATACCAATATATGGCAACAGCGCCCTTCATAATGTATTTTCTGTGTAAATACTAGCACCTCAATAAAAAAAATAATGTGTCCTTATCTTTATATGACTCCGCAAAAAATCAAAGATGCCGGCTTCTTTCATAGCATTGCCACCGACCGGTGTCGAGTCTCTCGGAAAGAAACCTACGTCGCCGGGCGACAACTAAAATCCAGTTAATATTTTATTATAATCGATCCTGACGAATAAATGAATTTCATAAACGAATGAATTTTATAAATGAATGGTTTTTGCTGCCGAATTACTAGAATACAATATTTCAAGGCAGATGACGCATCTATTCGATAATTTTTATTCGAATAGTTTTCAACAAATGTTTTTTTACTAGCTATCGAATTATTCGAATGAATTGCAACTATCGAATGTTTCGATAGTATTCATTCGATAGTTCCCACTACTACTTTATATTACTGTTTAAAAATTATATTTACTTTTACTGGCATTTACTTTAAAAAATAAATGAAATATTTCTTCGCAAAAAACTACATGTAAGAGAATTAGCATAAACAAAATACAAACATCGTTAACTTTTTTTTTAAATTGGCACGTGTAAAATTTTCATTTTAATTTTCTCACCCCATAGTTTGAGTTCGATAACCATTTATTTAACCACATTACTTAAATATAATTATTAAGTTCCAACTAATTCATAGGTATTATTAAAACATCTAAAATACAAATATGTATTTTTAAAATTAATTGTAAGTTCATCTCATCTCTCTTAAAATTGCTACTTCTCAAAATTTCCCATTAAAAAATAGACCATATACCATATAAAATGAAATAATTGAAAGATCGGACTACGGAAAACCACACAAATTATCGGAAAAATTTTGACCACCTGCACATGCACACAATCGTCAATAAATAAAATTAAAAAATAACTACTATTTTAGTATTTTAACTATTTTAATAAACGCAAAAATAGCACAGTATTTATACGGCGAAGTTATAAAAATTTGGAAGAACCAATAATGCACTGACGCATACAAAATCCAAACGAATACTAAATTTCATTTATCAAAAGCATTCGATAGTCGTGGCTCAACGATAACCATTTAGTCGCACGGCGAGGTTGTCACATATGCTTTAGTTTACAAATGAATGAATGATTTTATTCGAATAAAACCATTCGATAGTTGAAATCATTCATTCATTAACCATTCGATAGTCTAATTCATTCGATAGTTCCCATCGCTAGTCGTAATAACACCCGCATGCATATAATTTTATTTTTTCCTGCCGTTACTTTTTAGAAAATCAAAAAACTAATTACACATCCTCATAGCTACTTTATTAGGGCTATCTGATAGTATTTTTAGATTTTTAAATTAGGTGATAATTTGTGAGATACAGAGGTCATCTTAATTTTTTAAATACGGACCTGCATTTTTTATTTAAAGTTTTGAAAGAACTTGAGTACAATGGTATGCTACACTTGATACTTTTTTTGTTTTGGGTACCTTAACAATAACAAAACTATTTAATTATTATTTAAAATAATTCCCAGTCCGACTTTAGTTTTTTAAATTATTTAATCTCATTATATTCATCGCAACAATATTGATCAGCGCTAATTAATATTGAATAAAGAAAATGGAACAATTAAAAGATTAAATAAATAATATCCAATTCAGCAATTTAAAGATATTATTTTTAACTTTTTTTATTGTCAATTTGAAATATCATTGTACGATCTAATATAATATTAATCGTAGTTATTATAAATAAATCAACTTTTACAAACTAGTTTCTAATGCTCTACATGTTCGAAATGGTCACCACCCTCCCTAAGGCACAAATTTATTTTTCGTTCAATCTTATTTATAGCTCTTTGAATATCTTTTTCACTACTTCTTACATAATACATAAATTATAAAATAACAGGTTATGTTCGTTTCTGGCTTAGGAAAATATAACTAGTTTTGAAATAACATACTTTTTAATTTACTATGTTTCTTACCTTGTGCTTCCTGAGCTTTCTTCAAAGCATTTTGTTTCCTTCGCTTAATAGCGTCGCTTTTGGCTTTTAGTTCCTCTATGGGTAGCAAGGCCTGTCTTTCCCAGTCTCCGGGCGGTAGTACTATACTGTCGTCCAAAAATTCGTTGATGGCCGACAACAGTTCATTTCTGGATTCAGTTTTATACGCGATATTGTGGAACTGCTGGTTCGCCATTAGTGTTGATATGGAACGACCCACCTGAAAAAGAAATTATTTGTCTATTGTCATTTTATTATCATTTTTTTCTGTTCAGAATTGGAGTCTGCATTCAAAAAAGTCTTCGTCAAAAAATTCTGCATAACAGTACAGGGTGAGTCAACGATAGAGTAAAGTCAATTATGAGTAAGTCCATCACAAAACAAAAATATTTATTACTTATTTTTAACAAGTAGTTTATTAATTAGTTACAATTGTTATTATTAGTTACTCAAATAAACTAAAATCGCAGTGGTGAATTTCTTGGTGTATTTCTATATTATGAAAGATGGCACTTGATTTTCCGTCGGGGCGAATAGCCACAGATTAGGGTAATACTAGATTACATACTTGTTGACTACTGATAGAGACATTTTCTTCGGCATACAGTAAAGTTTTTTTCTCGTAGTAATTCTGGTTATAATTCCTTTCTTAAAGCCAATATTACTACTGCCGCGAAACCGTTCCATTAGACACTGAAAATAATATAATATAATAGGAAAATGTTTCTAGATAATCTACATCTATTCTTATAGTACTTAACAAAGTACTATATAATATATAGTACTGAACCAAAAAATATGTATTTCTTGGCTTGTTCGTGTATATCAGTCACATACATTTACTAATTAATTTTCAGGCAAATCTGTAACTATTATCTCTACCATTTATACTTATTACAACAAATTAAATTCAAATTCAAATTTTGTTCTTAACTTGTTTAACAGAAATGAAATTTTGATAATTATAATTTTTTGTCATGGCACTATGATGTTATAGCGCAATAATTGTATTAAAAATATGGGTAAAAATAGAAAAATTGGAATAAATCGCAAACTATTAAAAATAGGTATATGACATACTTAATAAAAGTTGAAGAGTTTTGTAAAATCTATCAGAAAAAATGATAATATTAGTTATTATTTAATATTAGTTTTAAATACGTATCTTCACCTTCCCTATAACTATTACATTTAATATTTTTTTGTAAACCTCGAAACAAATGGGATAATGGACTTTACTCTATTGTTGACTCACCCTGTATAGCTTGGACACCTCAGAATATGGTTCCAAAGCATCATATTATTTTACTGAAAGAGCTTCGTAGGAAAGCTGCATTGCAAAAAAACATAATTAGAGGAGAATTACAAGTAGATATATTGTTTTCACTTTTGCAACTAAATAAAAGCGCCTAGCCTAAGATATTTTTAAGAAAAATACTAGGTAGTTCATGAGAAGCTTAAATTATACTTTTTTATTAACATCCCAATTCAAAAATAAAACTTCTACTAACCTCATGATAGTCTATGGTGGCTCTCTTCGGTCCCAACAAAATAAAAATAAACCTAACAGGAATATTAACTTCGATCAGCGATGGAATGACAACCGCTTCAGCCAGCCTGACAAAAGCTATAGCCGGTTGTTCCAGGAAGTCCACCTCTCCTGCCAGAACACTGGCCCCTTGGGCCTCTGGCGGTATTCTCTTCCTGATAGCCTCATTGTATGCCCTCCTAATGTCCTCATTCGACGTGGAATAGGCCTCTTCCTTTATGTCGACAGTGTGGGTATCGTTGTTGAGTAGCTTGTGTTCGGCATCGCCGTTCTTCAAGTGGATGGTGGTCTCCGGGAAGCTGATTTTGCGTTTTTCCGTGTCGTGGAGGCTCTGGAAATGTTACTATATTGTATTTTTGGTATTGTTATTGTTTTTTTTGAGGTTTTAGAACGGTTTCGAACTAGGAAGTTTGAGTTCTACCAGCTAAAGTCGAGTCGCTAAAAAAGTTGGTTAAAGAAAAATAAGTGTCTACATATTTTATTTATTTCAAAAGCATAATTGACTCTTAGTTTAGTACAATTAATGGAATTTATGGTTATAAATAATGAGAGTTGTCGGCCATTTTAATTCAGAACTAGATTGTATTTTTTGTATTTTTTTAACCATAAAATATTAATAATTCAATATTAAGAAATGCATAATATCTAAATCTATGATATACATTTTCTAACAGAACGTAAAAAACGTGAGAACATAGTTCGAGCGTTTAATTTTGTTCAAATTCGAACGGGGCTAAGAGGGCTAAAGCAAATATATGTTTAGCATCTTTAGTTTCATGAAAAAGTATCAAATTGATGCGAAAACCGCATTTTTGTATCTCTACTCCTAAACGAGAAACCCCATAAAACACGAAAATGGGACATCCTGTACGCGTATATAGAGTTTAGAGGTCTTTTTCGTCTATTGTGCGTTCATTGGTGGTTCTATTTCTTTATTCTTCAGTTACAAATTTGCCGTTCTGGATTTGCGAATTACGCTCAATAAAACTTGACAGAAACATCCATAACTTGTTTCCGATTCATACGAAGCGAATTTTATCAAATCTTCTGAAAAATACAAGTATCCAATAAAGTGTTTACGATGTGACGTTAAGAGCCTCTTCGATGCTTTCGTAAAGTGTGTTTGGCATTTATCAATTTCACATTCGTTTATTAAATTACGTGGATATAATATGTTATTTGTTTGAAACTGATAGGCAATGATGTGATTTATAAAATAAAATATCTTCCTGGACTGACAGTGTCATTAATTTTGAAATTTATACAACGTTTCTGCCAGATTTATCATTGTCTGTTATCAATCTTTTTTCTTCTCATGTCTGTTTGAAATCCAATAAAAAACTCTAACTTGTAGGTACAAGCAATTTTTTTAAACATATATTTATAAGCTACGTATTATTCGTGGCACACACCATTAATTTTTTCACAAAAAAAAGTAAATGGTGTGTTCAATTTTGGAAATAATTAGAGTGCCGTAGAGATTAAGAAGTTACATAAATATAAATACTAATTAAGATTCAAGGGCTCGTTTAGCAAACATTTAATTAAAAGTTGCCTCTTTGACGCAACTTTTTGCGGATCAAATTCTCGTTAAGCCTAAACGGTTTGGTTCCAAAATTACAGGCCCATAGTAACAGGGTAATGAATGTATTATTAGTAATTTATTATTCTAAAAGGTCTAATTATAAGCTAGCATTTCTATACCTATTTATAACCAAATATAATAAGAATATTAAGCTTCGAATGTATTATAACAATAGTAATTTATTATATAAGCGTTTTAGAAAGCATTTTATCCACGTAAGAATGTTTAAACGCGAGAACGTAGTGGGTAGTGGCGTTTAATTTAATTTATTTTAATTTAACTTAATTTATTTTAATTTAACTTAATTTATTTTAATTTAACTTAATTTATTTTAATAAAGTGCAAATATTTTCAGGGGTAGTAGGTATATTTCGACTCCAGAAGCAAGTCTATGAGGCTTTTTTTGTGAAAAAAAATTGAAAATTTGAAATTTTTTGAAAAAAACTTTTTGATTTTTTTTTGTTTTTAACTCGGTTTTTAATTAAAAACATAATTTCTTGATAATATGTCAAGATATGTAGTAGATTAAATTTACAAGAAAGAAAACCCAGAAAAGATCCAGTGGTTCTCAAAATTTAAACAAAAAATCATATTTTTTTTAAATTTTCAAAATAAAATAACTCGATTATTTTAGACTTATTTGAAAAACGGCAAAGAGAAAAATGTTTCTTTTATCGAGATTGCACTTATTTAAGACTCACCCTGTAGAATAGTTAACTCAGTTCCAATTTATTATTTTTATTATACAACATCATAGTATTTTAAAAACATGGTTCAATGATTGACATCTCAAAAACAATACAGATACATCATAAACAGTAATAGTTGTTTCAGTGTTATTGAAACATAAAAACAATAAGTAATAAACAATCATTTATCGGTATTATTCTCATATGATTCAAAGCATATTTTCGCAGTTTTTTAATACTATTCTTTTTCATTTGCTTATTGCATTCTGTAATGAAATTCGAATCTCTCGCATTAAGCATTCACCCTTGTTCCAGATTATAGCGAAGAATGTCAATATGCTTCCCCATAGTTTTGAATTCGCATTGTTTTGAAAATACGTTCCGAAAGCTATGCTATTTATAGCGGAGTTATAATAAACACTGTATATTTTGACTTTCTAATGACTTCTTTAGCTATAATTATCTCAACACATCAAAATATAAATTATCTGCTATTACTTCGTCGATAGAAAGACTTTATAAAAATGCATAATTTCTAAATCTATGAGACGCATTTTCTAACAGTTTGAAAAAAAGTTTAATATTCATAGTTTAAGTTTTCAGTTTAGTATGAAAAAATAATGTTATCTAAATGCTAATGGACTCTCCTAAGAGCATTTTTCTTAAAGATGGAGCGCAAACTTTACTGTAATATAATACTTCGCGTAGAAGTATATTGATTTAAGAAGATCGTGAACCGAGTATATACCAAAATAATTTCGTATTCTTTAAGAAAAAGATTAAGATTCGAAAATATAAAGTTATCTGACTTTACTTATTATAAAAAATAGTCAAAGTTTTACTGTTCTGAAATAGCAGTAAAACAGATCTTATTATTAACTTATATCAAATAAACTTATAGTCACGTATTAAGCTTGACCGGCACAGCGTTGCCCGCTTTTACATATTTTCTTTTAATCAAAATATTTTAGGAAACAAAAAAAAATAATTGTAAATATATAAACAGTTATTATTTACATCAACAAAAATCACCTTAACGGTACTTAAGGGACATAAAGGGACATTACTTCCGCTTTCCCTTTCAAAATATTCTAATAAAGTTTCGATGAGTTATTTACGGCTATTAAGCTATCTTGTTCAGGTTCCAAACAGAACAATGTTCTGCTATCACAAACACAATTCATTTACACCAAAAACACGTAATACAAAACTAAAGTGTCAAGACGAATGACAATGTCAGGAAATAAATAGTCAGGCCGGCGCCGAATATCTCCATGGTTGGCAATAATAAATTTAAAAATTGCGCCCTCGATTACGTAACTAAAAGATTAATTGATATCGAATGTAGATAACATTTTTTAAACTGACTGCTATCCAATATATTAGCTATGTAATGTTTTTTGCCCACCTTAAAACATTACTTAGATTTAAATAATTGATGTTGGGTTCTGGAGAAAAATATATCTGCTAATAGCCTAAGAGCTGACGACATATTTAGAGAACATATTTTAGGCAAGCTAGAATAACTAAAAATGTATAGTTTATTAACTGGTGACCCTAGAATCCTAAGTCTGGCTGGGGGGTTGGGGGTATTTCGGTACTGCGCAACCCATAACATTTGCAAAAAAATAAACCCAAAAAACATTCTTTATGCAACTTGAAATTTGCTTATTCTTAAATTTTAGCATCTATTTAACCTAGAAATAAGTGTGCCAGACTTTTTTTTCGGGTTTAAAATGTAACCAGACCATTCCAAATATGTTTAATTAGTATACCTGGAAAACATGCTTTAGGTATTCTAAAATTTTTAGAGCGTGTTTATTAGATGGTTTTAAAAAATATATGTTAATTGCCAGACGAATTCAATGGGATTTAATACTTGCCAGACGCGGATAAAGATTTTAAATGAGCGCGATAAGAAAATCTTATAAGCGCGAGAAAAATAGTTTATTGAGACCGGGTCGGCAGCCGATGCGGCTGACGTAACAGCATTTTGGAGTCGTAAAAACTTAAAAAAAAACTAACAAATATTGAATAAATAAAAAGAAACATTTTTTAATAAAAATAATGTATGATTGAAATCTTTTCAATAAGAATACTTTTTAATTTAAGTATTTTGTATCTGAAAGAATAAAAAGACGAATAATAATCCACATATTATAATATTATTAATTTTTGCGACCTGATTGACAATATAAAAAAGTCATTTTAACGCCTAAGCATAAAAGTAAAGCACTTTTACTTACTTTTGAATCTATTTAGAAAGATTAACAATGGTACTTTAATAAAATTCCAGAATACTTATTTTTTTAGCACTGTACATGGTACCCTTTTGTCGGGACTACGTTTTCTGGTAAAACCACTTCTTTAAATTTTAAACCATGTTGTTGGCGCACTTTTAAAAATTCTTTGCATTTTTGTAGTCTGCCTTCACCAAAAACAATAACTTTGTCACTAGTAACTTTTTTACAAACTACACAACTTAAATGTTTTTTATCCATTGTGATTTAGTAGTTAGTAGCGAAATTAGTAGTTACTAAAATATTTATTTGCAGCAATTATTCTAAACTATTTACACTATGCACGTCCAATATTTAATTTATATATACATATTTGTACATGGTAACTTAATTCCAACAAAATAATCTCTGAATTAAAAGCCTGCAAATAATTGAAATGAAAATGAAAAAAAAAATGTTTTTTGGAAAATTTGAAGTACTCCAAAATACTGTTACGTCAGCCGCATCGGCTGCCGACGGGTCTCAATAAACTATCTTTCTCGCGCTTATAGATACTCATAAGACTTTTTTGTCGCGCTCATTTAAATCTTTATTCGCGTCTGGCAAGTATTAAATCCCATTGAATTCGTCTGGCAATTAACACATATTTTTTAAAACCATCTAATAAACACGCTCTAAAAATTTTAGAATACCTAAAGCATGTTTTCCAGGTATACTAATTAAACATATTTGGAATGGTCTGGTTACATTTTAAACCCGAAAAAAAAGTCTGGCACACTTATTTCTAGGTTAAATAGATGCTAAAATTTAAGAATAAACAAATTTCAAGTTGCCTAAAGAATGTTTTTTGGATTTATTTTTTTGCAAATGTTATGGTTTGCGCAGTAGCGAAATACCCCTAACCCCCCAGCGAGACTTAGGATTCTGGGTTCACAAGTTATTAAACTTTATTTTTTTTGTTATTCTAACTTGCCTAAAATATGTTCTCTAAATATGTCGCCAGCTCTCCGGCTATAATGATACCATGGTTAGGTTAGTAAAATTTGTGTCAAACGTTGTGTAGCTTTCTGTTATAACGCTTCAAGAGTTAAAATGTATTTTTCGCTAAAATAATATTCGCCGTACATTCGAAGTGAATTAAAAGAGCAAGACTATTTACATAAAAAAATAACTATTTGGACAGCTGAAACCGTTTTTTCTGTACTGCTGTTCAGATCCAATTTTGATTTTTATAAGTAGACATTTATTTTTTAAAATGATCTAATACTAAAGTTAAAAAGGGACTACTAGGCATAATTTCATAACATTCTAGTAAATTCTGGCCAATAATGGCAAAGTTTTCAGCGGAAAAAAATGCTAGTAGCAGAAAACAAACTAAAATTAAACTCAAAGATTGTCAGATATTTATATATAAATTTTTTAACAATTTAATAATGTCCAGTCATTTTGTTTCGTGGCAATTAAAAATATACTGACAACCCTTTAAAAACAATATATCATATGACCGAAAAAAAAACAAGGAAGTTAGATTATTGTCATTGTCAATCCAACCAGGTGAGGTTTTTTTTTCAATCATACAATATTAAAATTAAATGATTTCAAAAAGTAGACAATACTCGATATTAAATCTACGCAATCAATGGTAATAAAAACAAATCTAACAGTAAATCAATCAATTAACTGCTAGAAGGGAATCAATCAATAAAATGAGGGTAAGGGGGGCAAACTCATATCAAACCCACATGACGATGAGAGCCGAAGGTCACCAAAGAACTTGACCTCCCTTTTTGGGGTATGTGAGGACAAAGTTGATCTTTGCACGAGCACGGTTTGATAAGACTGGCTCTTCTGGTGCTATCTTCAATCCAATAAGACTAAAAGAAAAGGGGAGAATATTTGGACTTACATTATAACCTTACAATGTTATAAACACCTTAGGATTGTTAAAAAAATGTTATAGGTAATGTAAGTCGCTGTAGTTTGAAATGTGTGATGCGTGAATTCTGTAAATAGAGGTTAATATTGCAAATTCCTACCTGTAGTGATGTGTAGCTGTACTTGTTCTTGGTAAAACCAAATCTTCTTTCTTGGTGATCGTTCACGTGTCGATGACGTAAGAGTAGAACTCGCATCAGTTGACTTTTGTCCTCCTCTCTGATAAGATCTTCCCTGAATAATTCTTCGGACACTCTGTAACCGATGGCAGGGAGGTCGCGTTCTTCGAGGTCCAGTACAACAATCTGAAGAAAATATTAAAAGAAGTTGTATCTACAAAATATCTTGATGGTTGACATGCATATTTAATTTATTTACACAGACAGAAATTTATTTCTTGAAGTGTCTAGTCAATTCACGTGTTCTCGACAAATTACACTAATCATTCTGTACCTACAGAGTGTCTCTATTTTACGAACGATGACAGAACAAAGTATGTTTCGGCAAAAATTAAAATCAAAATATAATACTGTACTTTAAGCTGTGTTAAACGTGACAACAGGGTATGTTGCCGTAGTTTGAGGTTATGTTTGAAAACGTTTCTCAATTCCACTATATTCCAAGTTTTTTTTTGTTTTCATTTAAATAATATTCATCTAGTTTCTTGAAAAATAAGTTTAAATGTTGTGGCATGTCTATTTTCAGATAAAATGCACTGAATAGAGGTGAACAATGATTAAATTCATCGATTAAAACCGTCAAACAGGGTAACTGAAATAATTCAATAAATTACTGAGTTTCACTGAAATAATTACGTCATTACAGAGAATTCCTGAGATATACGGTTAAACGATGACTAATTGACGAGTTACGCTGTTTTGAAATGACTGGGCATTTCAGGGAATGACGCATTTTAGTTTATGATATCAACCCATATTTTGGATATTTTCTTACCCCGTTTTCTAGACATTTTCTTAGATTGAGTAACGAATGGAAACTGAGGGAGGCTACGTGTGGTTTTCCCCATCTGTCCACACCTTCTTCAACATCCTCCTCGTATTTGATCCATCTGGCGGTTTCTTTCCATTCTTTCTCGCTCGAATCTGTTTCTGTTTGCAGAAGTTCGCTGAGTTCTACGAATATCTAGATCAAATAAATCAGTAAGTTATATACAGTGTCACCTATAAACTTCGCATCATATGGGATTTTTTTAATTTATTTATTGATTTAAAAGAGCTTAAAAAGGAAGCTGTTAAAAATACGGGGTCAGGGGACAAATTTTGAAAAAAAAGGTTTTTCTTGTTTAATTTTACATAAGTATACCAATTTTCTTCAACCATCATGATGAATAGTAAAATTTCGTAATTTTTAACAAGTAGCAAACGATTCTCCCGAAAGAAGCAAAAATAATTGGTGATAGCCCGTTCGGTTTGTTAGTCAAATATTTATGTAGTGGTCATATAGGGTGATTCGAACTGTATTCCGGAAATTTCGGCAGCATATTCTGCAGATAAAAATAATTAAAAAAGTTCGTATAAGTGTATGTTCTAAAATGCTTAGTTTCGGAGATACACGGTGTAGAAGTTTCATTTTTATTTCGATTTTTTCCAAATAATTTATGAAGTAACGTCAATATTTAGATGAAAATTGGCGTTTGGAACTTTTTTGACATGAGAAATTTGATTTTCATGTCAATATGACTTCTATTTGTAGGGGGCACCACCTACATGTGTTGTAACTGTTTTGAAGAGTAATAACTTTTCGTCCGTACCTGTATAAAACTACGGAGTGAAAAAATATACTTCCCGTAACTTTTTTACGTAAATAATGTCTCTTGGTAAAAATCGCTATGAGCAACCGTTCTCAAGATATTTAGAATGGAAATAGTCAATACAGAGTAGATATAATAAACGCCACGAATGTTTGGGAGTGATTCATCGCTTGATGAAGTTAGAATCGACACGCGCGCTATCATTTTTACATTAAAAACGTAAATTTTTACCGCAGACGTAGGTTTTTATAGGCCCGGTCTAATCATCTGCCTGCGCTCCTCCTACTTATTCTAAAATGTTAGCGTGATTGACAAAGACGATACTATATCGCGGTTCTTTGATTGGTTCGTTTTTGTGCGCCAGTCCATTGGTGTGCTTGCAATGCGACCAATGGGGCATTCCATTTTATAATTATAACCAAATATATGAAACTTTCAGACACCAATTTTCATCCAAATATTGACGTTACTTCAATAATTATTTGGAAAAAATCGAAATAAATATGAAACTTCTACACCCTGTATCTCCGAAACTAAGCATTTTAGGACATACATTTTACGAACTTTTTTACTTATTTTTAGCTGCAGAATATGCTGCCGAGGTTTCCGAAATACAGTTCGGACCACCCTGTATATCAAAGATATACTCAATTAATAACATTTACAGAAAAATAAATTTAGTTATTAATAATATTTATATATCAATAAAAAATTACCTACAATAATATGAGAGACTGGATCATTTATTATTAGCATTAATATCATAAAAATGTTACTTACAGCATGAGGACTGTGATCGTACAGCTTCTTCAGGAAAGGGTGCAATTCAGCCCCTTTGCCGATGTGCATTATGGAAGTCTTGTGTCTGCGGAAGGCTCTAGGATCGTCGGACCTGTGACTATCTAGATGATCTCTATCTGTACCTTTCAGTTCTTCATCTTCTGGTTGGGTTGATACCTTAAATCATCAAATGTGGCTAGTTTAGTGTCTAACTAGATAAGTATTAGGTCTGAGTTCGCAGTAGAAAGAGTGATAAAATGAAAATAGGGGTGGTAATCTGACGGACTCTAACGTGCATAGACATGTTTTTGGCCAGAGGGGTGGGTTGTATCAAATAGGAGGACGTTTATTAAAATAGTATGGTATTATAAAATATAAAAGCTTTGTGCTTTAAAATTTGTTGAACATTAAATGATTTTGAATACTAAAAAATAATAACTGGGCTAAAATTTAATATTTTTTGATGATTCAAAGTTCATTTAAAAGATAGAATCAACAGCTATCACATTTTGAAACTATTATGAATTTTGTCATATTTTATAATAATAATAAAACTGGGTAAACATTCTTTAACCCAAACATTTTCAGATTTTTACAAACTTATTCATATTTTCACTAATAATAGATTATATTATTTGTCAAGATTTTCTTTATCCGTTAAAATAAAATGGATGAAGTTTGATTTATTTGCGAATACACAACGAAATCATGGTATAAGAACTACTCACTCTTCTCATCTCTTTCTGGAAACCTTCCGGTGGCCCGTCCTTGTCCTTATCGTGATGATGATGGTGATGGTGACGTTTCTTTCCTGTTCCTTCAACAGGAAGAGAAAGTTTCCTCTGTCCACTGTAATGTGTTCTTCTGAAAGAAGAAAATAGAGCAAATTATTATACCGGGTTTTTAAAGCAACTGGTTCACTAAAAGCTTTTTAAGAAGCTAATTTAAATAGAAATTTGTGAGTTTCAAGTTTTGGCACTGTCTTCTGGTTTAACCGGAAGTTATTTTTTTTTATTTTATATAGAATACCCTATATATTTTTTGATTTTTTAATTCTACATGACATTCTAAAGACGGGTTGCCACGGTTCAAGTGTACTTGCCAGTGAAACAGGAAGTGATCGAAACGAATTGAATACGTCAATCAATCCTAATTTATGTCATATGCTAACATACCAAATCTCGTTTTTTATCAGAAAAAGAAAGTCATAGGGGCGAACTTCTCTTGAGAAACATTCGGTATATTATGATCTAGATCTATAGATATATTAGATCTAGAAAATAATAATAACCTTCTCTATAAATAAATAAAATCAGAGAAAAAATCAATCGCTGTTTACTATAAAATGCTTCAATGGACCACAAAATTATATTCGCAACAAAATCGCAACTAATAAAAAATCGAACTCGCAGATAGAAGGTTATCACGGTATGACGGTCCTAGTTTGCAAAATCACAATCGCAGCAAAATTGTAAAACGCAGTAAAATCGTAAATGGCAACTATAGTAATATTGGTTGCCTAAATCGAAACTCCCAAATAGAAGAAATCACAAATCGCAACTCGCAACTATAGTAATATTGGTTGCCTAAATCGAAACTCCCAAATAGAAGAAATCGCAAATCGCAGCAAAATCGCAACTCGCAACTATAGTAATATTGGTTGCCTAAATTGAAACTCCCAAATAGAAGAAATCGCAAATCGCAGCAAAATCGCAACTCGCAACTATAGTAATATTGGTTGCCTAAATTGAAACTCCCAAATAGAAGAAATCGCAAATCGCAACTCGCAACTATAGTAATATTGGTTGCCTAAATCGAAACTCCCAAATAGAAGAAATCGCAAATCGCAGCAAAATCGCAACTCGCAACTATAATAATATTGGTTGCCTAAATCGAAACTCCCAAATAGAAGAAATCGCAAATCGCAGCAAAATCGCAACTAGCAACTATAGTAATATTGGTTGCCTAAATTGAAACTCGCAAATAGAAAAAATCGCAGTCGCAGTTTCATATGAGAGTGGCATATGAGAGCCAATCGCAGGTTGCGATTTGTTGCTCATCTCTAGTACTTGGACAAAGTACACTAGAATAGATAATTTAGATTACATAATTTAACTTACATTGCATTAATATCCTAGATATATTTAATAATTTTTGGACAGCCTATACACATAAAGCCCATTTCACATAAACTTCACAGAAAACCAAACAATTACGCATTTTTGAAATATATTTTTTATACAAAAAATATATTGTATAGCTAACAAAAGCGTCGTGTAACTAATATCTCGTCGTATTGTTGTTTTTTTACAATTTATGTTTTCAAACAAGTTCACTGAAATATATACCTCAATAGCAATAAAATGCATTAATTGGTATTGTTGATATTTCAGAAATTCTATTTTTAATTAGTGTTTTGACATAATTCATTAAGATATCGATGTCACGTGGATATTATTATGTAATTACAATAAGAAAGCGATTTGTGTTGAGTACCTAGTTTTGTGAGATCGATAAATTATTCTTTTGTTTAGCTGTATCACGATTGTGTACTTTGGTGTGATTATAAGGAATATTTTTAAGAATCTATACAAGGTGCCTATCTTACCAACCACTACTTTAATTAGTATTGCAAAAAATTTATTTTAGAAAATAGAATTTTTTAATTTGGCGAGTTTGGTGAAGAGGCAAAATATCTGACCGAAACGATGTGTAAGGGGTGTAAGTAAAAACCAATGTATGTCCGAAGTTCTTTTAACCTCACTACTCTCTCTCTCTCTCTAACTCATTGTCTACTTACTAGTTTCAATAGAATCTATTATTTTGCACGTGTTTTTGAACATTTATGAGATAATATTACCGATAGGATAAATAGATCAAAGTTTTATGACCTTTCAATAAAAATGCTGTCTGGCATAAGATATCGAGATATATTTAATCCTCTAATCTCAAGATGAATTAGTCATCATAAAATAATGCTAGAATTAATAAAAAATGTATTATTCCAAGCTACTAATATTAAATATGATGAATCTGACAAGTACCTAGTATTTATATTACTGCATTTATATGTGATGTCATTTGAATTAACAGGTAGGCAACATACATAGGTAGTAGATTAAATTTAGAGAAAAGAAAAAAAAAACGAAAAAAATCAGTGGTTCTGAAAATTTAGCCAGAATATACAGGGTGGCGCACCTCATTCGCCTCGGTTGATTATACGGAAGTGGGAAGGCAATATGCACAATTTAAAATTATTTTGAAATGTACAGGGTATGTCAGAACTAAGATCCATACCAAAGTTATATTTTTTCTTATGGAACACTAGATATTTTATTTCATTTTTGTATTCTGGGACATAAAATAAGGCACTTATTATAAAGGTTTAATATGTTTAAAAGCTTTGTTTTTTGAGATATTTAAAGATATTTAAATATGCTTGTTATAATAAAAAAAAATTCAGCACCCTGTACAATACTTTTCTGAGTTAATTTTTGTGCTGACTTTGAAGCCAGAGAAATGAACTTTACTAAAAAAATGTGTTGCTTCCTTAAATTTATACAGGGGTATTAAAAATTGCTGGTCTATTTTAAATATTTATTTTACATAAAAACTTCGTTATTTCAAATACAATACTATGTATTTTTTTAAATAAGTCGAAGCATATTTAAATGCTCTTTCAAACTATATTAGGACTTCCTATACCTATCTGGCTCAGATTTTGAATAAAAAGCGATTTTTTAATAAAATTGAAATCAAGATGGCACAGGTGTCGCCATGCCAATTTTCTAGTGACACTTAGTAGCTATTTTCAATATCGACATTAGTTTATGGACCTTATTTAAGTCATCGTAATATAAATCAAAGAACTACTTCTTTATTTTTTTTAATAAAATAATAAATACTTACTTATTAAAGTATTTTAGGTAAATTAAATAAAAGTAAACTTAAATAAATTTAAATAAAGTCCATAAACCAAAGTCGATTTTGAAAATAGCTTAGTAGCTATTTCCGGTCACTAGCAAATTGTCATGGCGATGCCAGAAATCTTGATTGCCATTTTATTGAAAATTTGCTTTTTATTCAAAATCTGAGTCAGATAGGTATAGAAAACCCCAATATAGTTTGAAAGAGCATTTAAATCTGCTTCGACCTATTTTAAAAAATATATAGTGTTGTATTTGAAATAACGAAGTTTTTATGTAAAATAAATATTTAAAATAGACCAGCAATGTTTGATACCCCTGTATATATTTAAGGAAGCGATACATCTTCTTAGTAAAGTTTATTTCTCTGGCTTAAAAGTCAGCACAAGAATTAACTCTGAAAAGTATTGTACAGGGTGATAAAAAACTTGTTTATTATAGCATGCATATTTAAATATCTTTAAATATCTCAAAAACCAGCATTGAAACACATTAAACCCTTATAATAAATGCCTTATTTTATGCTCAAGAATCCAAAAATGAAATAAAATACCCGGTGTTCCATAAGAAAAAATATAACTTTGGTATGGATCTTAGTTCTGACACACCCTGTACATTTGGAAAAATTTTTAAATTGTGCACATTGTCTTTCTACATATACCCACAAAAAATTTTGTTTCTACATCTTTCCGTTTTCGTATAATCAACCGAGGCGAATGAGGTACGCCACCCTGTATATATACAGGGTGAGTCTTAAATAAATGCAAATATTTTTAGGGCTGGTAGATCTCGATAAAGAAAACGAATTTTTCATTACCGTTTTTCAAATAAGTCCAAAATAATCGAGACATTTTACTTTGAAAATAAAAAAAAATAAGAAAATATTTTCCGCTTACATTTTGAGAACTGCTGTATGTTTTCCGAAAAACTTTTTTTAATGAATTTTAGGAAAAATGCATTCTTCATAAAATTTTTTGCTTGTTCGAAAAAAGTATTACATTTTCCGATAACTATTATCACCAGGGTTCGGAAAATTACATGTTACTTTTAAAAACTACATAAACTACACTACATGTAGTTAATGTAGTTTATGTAGAGGGTGTAGTTTATGTAACCTATGTATGTAACTTTTATATATCAAAAAGTTTGAGGTGAGGTTATAGTAAGTTGAAGCTTTAAAAACACATAATGTATTTAAGAAAACAGAAGAAATATGGCTTTAAATATAATATTTACATTATATTATCTCTACACCTCATACAAAGGAAAATTATTTATAATATCAATACATAGTTTATTAAAGTAGTTTTCATGTAGTTAATGAACGGGAAAAGACGTAGTTTTTGAAGATAAACTACACGTAATTAATCAGTTAAATTACGTCTTAATTAACTACTTCCGAACCCTGATTATCACCCTTTCGGTAGCATTGATCTAAATAAATTTTGTGCTTCTTTAACATTTTAAAACAGCAACAAATATGACTCTAATTAAGATTCTATCAATAACAATCTATAAAAGAATGAAAACGAAATTATATTACCATAGAAACGCGTTTTAATATTTAGGACTCAAAAAATTCATCTATATTTTCATGTTTTCTTTTTTAATTTTCTATAAAACGGTATGGAAATTTAAAAAAGTATAAACGGGATTAACCATTTTATATCTATATGCATTTTTCTTAATATGATAATAACAAGAAAGTTTTTCCTCTTGTAAAAACAATCCGGGGACATAATGTAGAAAAGGGTGTTTCCATTTAAAAGTGTCCAATTTGGCACACCCTGTACAGATTTTTTGACCTCTATTCCTTTACTATATGTATTGATTATTAAGCATTAACATTTTTCTTGTTATAGAAAAATAAAAACAATTAACAAGTTTTAACAACCAAAAAAAGCACTCCATATCTGTCGCTCGTTACTGTAATATCTC